GAGTTCAGGAAAAGATACAGTCACTCCAAGTGGAAATGGTTTTGAAATGGCCCAGGATGTAACTGATAAAGAGCACCCTATTGCTTGCTCTGATGACCTGTGGTTCATCAGTACATACTCTCTCATCCTGTCTTTTTACCAGGAAACATACACAAATGACCCTTTGTTGATATCTCTTTCTTTTAAGCAAAGCTGCCATTTGCGATTTTAATCTTTTCATCTCCTGAGCTTCCCACCAGTAATCGCTGTAAGCGCCTCTTAAAGTTGCTATATAGCTTGTGACCGCCTCTCCGATGCTGTTCTTCAGCACCCTGGTGCTCTGTTGCTGTTCCGGGTTAGAGTTCAGTAGGTACTGATAACGTTTCTGCAGTATGCCTTAGGTTTGAAGGTGCCTTCCCCTTGCCATGGTGCTGTGAAATAGATACCTGCCTGCCTGCCTACCTACCTACCTACCTACCTACCTACCTGTAGTTATTTGTTCTGTCTTTGGGGACTAAACAAGCCATATTGCCACAGCCATTGTTTCAGGGCTGGTTTCATGGCCCTTTGGAAGACTTGTTTACGTTAGTTGAGGTTAACTAAAATATTGAAGTACTACTATTGAAACATGGGATAGCAGCAGATCCAAGTCTCACAACCATAAAAGAGGTTCGATCTCACCTGTGGATGAATTATTACTCAGTTTTTTATTCTGTGTGGGCATCACTTTAGAAAAAAATTGCTTTCTCAGTTTCCTTCAGAGTACTCTGTCCTCTTATTGGGTATCTCTTGATTTCATTAATCTCTAAGCATATTGGTTTTGTTTTGTTTTTTAATCTTTGTGTTTGTTTACTTATTCTGAGAGAGAGGGAGAGAGGTAGGGAGGGCCAGAGAGAGAGAATCCCAAGCAGGCTCCACACTGTCAGCGCAGAGTCTGACGCTGGGCTCGAATTCACGAAAAGTGATACCATGACCTGAGCCAAAATCCAGAGTTGACCACTTAACCTGACCCACCCGGGCACCCCTCTAAGCATATTGTTCACCCCAAATACTAAAGCCTACTTCCAGAGCACAGCCCTAGGCATGGAGCAGTGTCCAGAAGATTTTCACACTTTGATGATGATTGTGCTTCTCAAGGTGGGGAGAACAATTTATCTCCAGTTTTTCTCTGCAGTAAGATGCCATGATATTTCTTAATCTTTTTTCATAAACCTTGACCAACCCCCTTTACCTTTTTATGTATTGCTAAAGTGCACTTAGAGAATATATGTTTATGCGTTGAAAAGGCAGTGATATCCCACTTATTTGTAGGCACTTATCTCAGTAACATCAGGAACACCTCCAAAAACCAAAAACTGAGAAATAAAGTCCTCTGAGCAGTTGAAGTTGTTAGAAAATCCATGTACTTTACTTAAACTATTCCTGAAAACATCATTTCAGAGCCTGTTTATTTTTACTTAAAGGACCAGTCTAGCACTTGAGATGTGGTTCCTCAGCTGTCAGGCAGAAACACTCTTGAAGGTAAAAGTAGGGCTTCGAGCCACAGCTACTATCTGGAAGCCAATAAAAAGAAAGATTTTAGTAACATACAGACTGCCAGTGTGACCTTTTCATATTAAGGCAGTCAGATTTACTTAATTGAGTAGCCCCTAAAGCTATCAATGTATTTTAGTTCAGTATAATAAAAGTAATGGCTCAACTTTAATAATAGTGCACATGATAACCCCCCTGAGTCATTAAGAAAGAAGAAATTGTGTTCAGAGGAGGATATAATTTTTAAAAGACTTCTATCAAAAATATTTTTAAAATTTTAAATGTTTGGTACTTGAAGTGTAAACTTTATGCAGAAAATTCACCTTAGGTTGTAAAAAAGCATTAATGCACATCTCTGAGTTATTTGTTACTGAGGTATGTTTAATGTGATTAGTTGACAGTAAAGGTAACTGATGACTTCGTAGTTTTTTCCTTTGCACTAATCCTAAGTGGAAGAGGGGGCACGTGCTGTATTAAGACCAAAAATGGTTACGTGTTTTGGCCAAGGTTACACAACTAGTAAGTGGCAGAATACTCACCACTGGTTCCCAGTGCTCTATCCTGTGACAGCATATTATGCTGTTGGTACTGTCTGATAGACATAGCGGCAGGGTATGTCCCAGAAGGGTCCTTCTGGGACTAATTTCTCTGTGAGCTACAAAGCGTGCAGCTGCATGAAGAGTGTATTAAGCTCCTATGTACGTATCATTGTGTCTGAGAGTTGAAAATGACTTAACCGTCAGTCCCCCAAGGGTGTCACTGGTGTCTCCCCTTTTCTAAATTTAGGAAGGAGATATTTGCCATTCCCATACAGCAGGAGGAGCTTCTTCCTGTTGACCTTTCAGATGTTGCCTTTTTGAAACTTTTACTGAAGGACAATATATAGGCAGGAAAATGCACATATTATAAGCATACTGCCCAGTGAGGCTGTTTTCCAGTCGCCTTCTGTCTTGTCTTTTCTTTGTTAGATTTTGGCTCCATTGCCAGCACATAGTTTAAAGTTCACCATCACCAGGGCACCTGGGTGACTCAGTCGGTTAAGTGTCCGACTTTAGCTCAGGTCATGATCTCACGGTTGGTAGGTTTGAACCCTGCATCAGGCTCTGTGCTGACACCTCGGAGCCTGTAACCTGCTTCAGATTCTGTGTCTCCCTCTCTCTGCCCCTTCCCCACTCGAGCATGCACGTGCTCCCTTGCGCTCTCTCTCTCAAATTAAACATTAAAAAAAAATTTTAAGTTCACCATCCCCATGCACCTGTTATAATATTTCTGAATCTTTTTTCCCCTTTTTATTATTTTCTTTTATTTTTTTAGTTTACATCCAACTTAGCATATAGTGCAACAATGACTTCAGGAGTAGATTCCTTAATGCCCCCTTACTCATTTAGCCCACCCCCCCCAAGCCCCTCCAGTAAGCCTGTTTGTTCTCCATATTTATGAATCTCTTATGTTTTGTCCCCCTCCCTGTTTTTATATGATTTTTGTTTCCCTTCCCTTATGTTTATCTGTTTTGTCTCTTAAAGTCCTCTTATGAGTGAAGTCATATGATATTTGTCTTTCTCTGACTAATTTCGCTTAGCATAAGACCCTCTAGTTCCATGCACGTAGTTGCAAATGGCATGATTTCATTCTTTTTGATTGCCAAGTAATACTCCACTGTATGTATGTGTGTGTGTGTCTGTATATGTATGTATGTGTGTATACACACACACACACACACACACACACACACACACCACATCTTCTTTATCCATTCATCCATCAGTGGACATTTGGGCTCTTTCCATACTTTGGCTATTGTTGATAGTGCTTCTATAAACATTGGGGTGCATGTGCCCCTTCGAAAGAGCATACCTGTATCCCTTGGATAGACACATAGTAGTGCAATTGCCGGGTCGTAGGGTAGTTCTATTTTTAATTTTTTGAGGAACCTCCATATTGTATTCTAGAGTGGCTGCACCAGTTTGCATTCCTGCCAGCAGTGCAAAAGAGATCCTCTTTCCTCTTTCCTTGCCAACACCTGTTGTTGCCTGAGTTGTTCATATTAGCTATTCTGACAGGTATAAGGTGGTGTCTCATTGTGGTTTTGATTTGTATTTCCCTGATGATGAGTGATGTTGAGCATTTTTTAATGTGTTGGTTGGCCATCTGGGTGTCTTCTTTGGAGAAGTGTCTATCATGTCTTTTGCCCATTTCTTCACTGGATTATTTGTTTTTTGGGTGTTGAGTTTGATAAGTTCTTTATAGATTTTGGATACTAACCCTTTATCTGATATGTAGTTTGCATGAAAGAATCTTTTTTTCTTGGTTTATTCACAATTCAGTGACCAATTTCAAATTTAAAGTAGGCATCTGCTAAGACATGTAGAAGACTACATTCTGTAGTCTCATGTAGGTCCTTTCAGATACCCATGGCACCGCTGACTAAAACTGCTGTCTTGCTAGTTGTGAAAATAAAAACATAGTGGAATCTTCCTTCATGAAGAGTAGTTTAAACAACAGATTTGACCGATAGTTTGGTTTTTGTTTTGTTTTGTAATTAGACATGTTTCAGCAGCTTTTTACCACCTGGTCTTAAATATCTCCCTGAGTCAAGAAAGGGGGAGCGCCTGTTCTTTTGTGCTTTGTGCTTTGTGTGTGCTTTCTGACATCTCACAACAATCCTTTGAAATATCAATACTGAGTTCCAACTCCAGATGAGGAAACCAAGGTTCAGAGAGGTTAAGTAATTTACCTAAGAGCCTATAGATAGTAAATGTCAGAGCTAGAAGTAGAATGTGAGTTTATCATATTCCACAATCTGTGCTCTTTCCATTAAAAGCACACTGCTTCAGAGGCCAGAGGGGCGTGAGGAAGGTAGGAGGCCAGCGTAGGCTGCTTATAATTGCATCTTTCAGTGTATTTGAATTATGAAATTATTGATCTCTATTTCTCATTGCCCCAGGAAGGGAGCAGAAGGGTTCCTGTATTACTGTTTTCAGAATTAGAAGTCCAACCAATTAGTCATGCTGAGAAACCATGTTAAAACTATAATTTCCCTAAATATTTCCAAACTAAGGTTTGCAATATAGTGCGTCTGAGTTTTTGTCAGTGTTGTGGGCTTACAAATCAATGATTATTTAACAGAAATACCCATGTCTAAAACAAAAGTATATGTTGACCAACTGGAGTTAATGTAGCCAAAATTTTATTTTCCAAAAAATTATTTTCAATGATATTTCTTCTCTATAAGATAAAAATAACTGTGAAGGATCTCTTAAAAGGTATGAAGGATGTTACTGAAATTTGAGAATATAACAGGGCTAGCCTTATATTTTAATCAGGTAAATACCCCTCATTTATGGAATCAAATGTACCTGGGCACTTAGAAGCAGTTTTAGAGTGTCCATTCTCTTTACAACATGAGTAACGTCTGGTGAATTTCATAGGGTAAAAATTTTCTTTGGAGAATGACCATACTAATTTCTTCTTTCTCTTTGTCTGTCTAGTGAGAATTCAACAGAGGCTCTAGCAGTAGATTCTAACAATCAGTCGAAGTCCCCGCTGGAGAAGTTTATGGTCAAACTGTGCACTCATCATCAGAAGCAGTTCATTCGTGTTCTGAACGATCTGTACACTGAATCCCAGCCAGGCCCCGAGGACCTGCACCCTGATTCTGGAGCAATGGACGCATCCACTTGCAGTGCCGGCTGTGCCCAACTAGGCACCAAACATAAGGAAAAGGATGCTGTGTGTCTCGATAGGAAGTCTCCTACTTCTGTAGATTTGTTCGTAGACTCATCGGACTCTCACAGCCCTCTACGCGTGACAGAACAGGCCCTGAAGGAGCCTCCTCCTGAGATAAAGTCTGTAGATGGGAGAGAGAATGCCTTGGCTGTTACCCAGAAAGTTTCCTCTGAACTTCCAACCACTAAACCTAATTCTGGTAGTTCAACGGATAGTTCCACTCTGGGATACCTCACTGCATCTAATTCTTCCTCATTAAACTTCCACCACATCTCTAAGAGCTTGGAGGGGCAAACCACTGGACAGGAGCAAGACACAAATGTGAAAATTCGCGAGGATGGTAAAGACCATATGCAGAGCTCAGCTTTAGTAGAAAGTCTAATTGCAGTAAAAGGGGCAGCTGAGAATAGTGAGGAGAGCAACAGCTGTATTATTTCTCAGAGAAATTCATTCAAAGCTTTATCAGAAGAAGCTTGGGACTCAGGGTTTACGGGGAATTCACCTAGAACTGCTGACAAAGAGAACGCTTTACTGTGTAGCTCAAAAACACCTTTGCGCCAGGAGTTAGAGTCCAGTGAACAAGATTCAAGGCCAAAGCAAGAGAACCATCTTCACTCACTAGGAAGAAATAAGGTGAGTTATCATTTACATCCCAGTGATAAGGGCCAGTTTGATCATTCCAAAGATGGTTGGTTAGCCCCCAGCCCTATGCCAGCTGTACACAAAGCATCTAATGGACATTCACGAACCAAGATGATCTCAACCTCCATTAAGACAGCTCGGAAAAGTAAAAGGGCATCAGGGTTGAGGATAAACGATTATGATAACCAGTGTGATGTCGTTTATATTAGTCAGCCAATAACAGAATGCCACTTTGAGAATCAAAGATCAATATTATCCTCTCGGAAAACAGCCAGAAAGAGTACTCGGGGATACTTTTTCAATGGTGATTGTTGTGAGCTGCCAACTGTTCGCACACTGGCCAGAAATTTACACTCCCAAGAAAAAGCGAGCTGTTCAACCCTGGAGCCGGAGGCAGTGGTCACTCCCAAGCAGACCCTTACACTTTCAGCCCCTGGACCCGCCGTGGATGTGCAGCATCCCAGAGACGATGACCACGAAGAACCTAGTAAAGAAATCATCTCCCTTAAGGAAGGAGACAGAGATGCTTCCTCGGAAAAGGAATCTCAAGAGCCTGAGGTTTGCCCCGTGACAAATAAACCAAATCCGAGCAGCTCTCCTAGGTCAAAGGAAACAACAGCCTCCAGCCTGGTGTCACCTCTCCCTGTTCACCTTCCCAAAGAGGACACACCAGAAGGCAGCTCCATGGTCTCAACTCCCACAGCAAGTGGGATAGCTTCCCCTGAACGAGACCAGCAGCCAGTCGAACTGCTGGAAATCAAGGAGGGGACTGTCACCCAAGACTGTCACCTGGTTTCCTCTATTGAGAGCACTTCTGAGGGAGGCAATGAAGATGTTGTTTCCGGGCCTCATTCTTCTCCTGAAACAGTCAGTAGAGAGGAAGGTCCTCCTTGCTCAGAAAGTCAGAGTCCTCCAGTGGGCTTGGAGCCTCCTCTGAGCCTGGGAAAAGCTGAAGACAACCAAAGCATCAGTACTGAGGCTGAGACTGAAGACACTCAGGAGCTAGATACTGACCTACTCTTGAAGGAAAGCAGCACTTTTACTAATGAAAACCCCAATGAAATTGAGGAAAGTGAGACAGCAGGTGGTACAGGAAAATTAGAGGGACAGGGCAGGAACGTAAAACATTCTTCAGAAAGAGATATGTGTGATCAAAACATTGACTCACCCGAAGAGAATCTGGACAAGAAGAAAAAAGTTAAAAAACTCCCTGAGGCCTCTGACAGGTGCCTAAGAAGTCAGCTTTCTGATCCCTCTTCTGCTGATAGGTGCCTAAGAAGTCAAAGTTCAGATTCTTCCTCTGCTAGTCCTGAGATCAAGGTTTCCAAAAATCCTGTTATGAAACGTTCTAAAAAGGAAGCGTGCCCTGGTGAGACAACACCTGAGAGTCTTCTGGCTGATGGTTTCCATACAAAAGCTTTGGAGGACACTGAAAACCCAGAGGTCCATGAAAAGCCCTCTGAGAAAGATGCCGAGCAGGAGGGCAAAGAAGGTGGGATCATCACCAGGCAGACTTTTAAAAACATGCTGGCTAAAGAGGTCAAAGGGGAAGAAGGAGGTATTTTCCCCCACGGTGATCCCATAACCACAGTAGACCAGACCCTGCCTGGAGAAAGACTGGAAATCTATGTTCAGTCTAAGTTAGGTGAGAAAAATGCTCGTGCTCCCTCAGAAAATATTCCACGTACTTTCCCAGAACAATCAAAAGAGAAGCCAGAACCAATTCCTGCACACGATACGGAGGAGGTTGTGAATGAGGCTGGCAGTGCAAACACCCAGCATAAAGGTGACCAGAGTGATGTGCCATCCAGTGCATGTGGCTTGTCAAATAGTGGAAGTGGTGATGCGGCCGGGCCCCCACAGTGCGTCCCGAGGCTTACAAGACTGACCTCTTCAACTTACAACCTAAGACATACTCATTCTCTGGACTCCTTGGACACTGCAAAAGTGACTTCAGAAAAGGAAGCAACACAGGGAAACCCAATGCCAAAGGAAAAGGAAGCTTCAGAGAGTGGAGATCCCTTACATGAGGATGATGTGGACACAGTGGTAGATGACCAGCCAAAGTTTGTGGAATGGTGTGCAGAGGAAGAGAACCAAGAGCTTATTGCCAGCTTCAATGCCCAGTACATGAGAGTCCAGAAAGGTTGGATCCAGTTGGAAAAGGAAGCCCAGCCAACACCAAGATCAAGGAACAAGTCAGATAAACTAAAGGAGATTTGGAAAAGCAAAAAAAGGTCACGGAAATGTAGGGGTTCGTTGGAGGTTCAAAGGTTTTCTCCTGTTCAGATGCTGTTTATGACAAACTTTAAGTTATCTAATGTTTGCAAATGGTTCTTAGAGACAACTGAAACCCGGTCTCTGGTTATCGTGAAGAAGCTCAACACTCGTCTTCCAGGAGACATCCCCCCTGTCAAGCATCCTCTTCAGAAATACTCTCCTTCCAGCCTGTACCCCAGTTCACTACAGGCTGAACGCTTGAAAAAACACTTGAAGAAATTTCCTGGAGCTACTCCTGCTAGAAACAATTGGAAAACACAGAAGCTCTGGGCTAAGTTTCGAGAGAATCCTGACCAAGTGGAGCCAGAGGATGGCAGTGATGTCAGCCTCAGCCCCAATTCTGAAGACACTGTAGAGGAAGTCAAGGAAGGTAGAAATAGCCATCCTCCCACAAATTCACCTACCCCAGCCAGTACTCGGATCCTCAGAAAATACTCCAATATTCGAGGAAAGCTCAGAGCCCAGCAATGTTTGATCAAGAACGAGAAAATGGAGAGCCCATTTGGACAGGCTGTGGAGAGTAAACAGAGTTGTAAGAGTGTATGCATCAACCCTCTGATGTCCCCCAAGCTTGCCCTGCAAGTGGATGCAGATGGGTTTCCCATTAAGCCCAAGAGTACTGATGGAATGAAGGGAAGGAAGGGGAAGCAGATGTCTGAAATCTTGCCGAAAGCCGAAGTGCAGAATAAACGCAAGAGGACAGAAAGCGGCACCGCTCAGGACAGGAAGGACAAGGGACCTGCGGTCAAAGCCAGCAAAGAAAAGCATAGTGATGGATCCACCAAAACCCCTGCTGCCAAGAAGCCAGCTGCAAGGGACAGAATCAGCCAACTGCCCAAAAAGACATCCTTGAAAGAGAATAAAGTGAAGATCCCCAAAAAGTCCCCTGGGAAGAACTGCCCTCCCTCCAGGAGGGAAAAAGAAAATACGAACAAAAGACCCGCTCAGCCAGCCGCCTCAGACACAGTGACGAAACCTGCAAAGCAAAAGGGGGCAGGGGAATCCTCTTCAAGGCCACAGAAAGCCACCAACAGGAAGCAAAGCAGTGGAAAGGCTCGGGCCAGACCCTTGACAAAAACCCCAGAGAGCAGTGCGGCCCAGAGAAAGCGAAAGCTGAAGGCAAAGCTGGACTCTTCCCATGGCAAACGGAGACGGCTGGACGCAAAGTGATCGCCAGGCTGGTAGCCGAGAGTTAAACTGTCCTACAGAAGTAACCCTTCGTTTTGCATTAACTAAACCTGCTTTTATAAGCTTATCCAGCCTTTCAAATCTGCAGTTAATGGAGAACATCACAATTTAAGATGTCAGAAAAATGCATCTCAGATGGAGAAGGGAACTTGCAGAGTCTTTCTCTGAGGCTGAGTAAGGGAAGTTATATATTATATTCTGGTTGTTCCTTGGGTTTTAAACTTGGAACCAAGCAGTTTTAGTTTTTAAAAGTACAGTGCCTTATTTATCCTTTTTGTTTTTAAATTTACAAAAGCTAAAAAGCTGATCTATGTGATTAAAGGCTTGTATTTTATACTTGATGCACAAGCACTTGTACTGTAGCCGAGAAGACCACCATCATGCACATAAAAGTAGCTTTTCAGCAGCCACCCTGCAGTGTCTGTACCTGAACAGACACTCCTCTTTGCAAACCCTAGCAGTGAACTTCCCTCTCTGTCTTGTTTGTTTGTTTCAATGATTCTCGAAAGCTAAACCAAATCACTTTTATGGTATGTAGAGAATGCAGAGGGAAATTATTATTATTATAAAAGATGAATATTTCTGTTACCCCTTTTTAAAAATTCATATTCTGTTCATTATTGGTCACTCCTCTCACTTTTGATCCTTTGTCATTTGAAAAAATGTATTCTAAATTATGTGCCCATGGGACAGAAGATGTGTCACATGGTGTTAATATTGGGTTATGACCTCTAAAAATTATTTACATCCCCCAAGTGATTTGCATTACTGATTCTTGCCATCCTTTTCATTTTGGGCCTTGCAAGCTTGCTAGCACTCTAACGAGGTTTTCTTCTGACTTTGGGGGAAAAAATGTAGGCTTTTTTTTTTTTTTTTTCATCTTGTAACTGTAACTTGACAATTAGGATAAGAGTGACTGTTCTAATATTCTTTCTTACCCCGAATACTTCCATATTCAAAGAAAGCCAGGTTGTTATTTCCAGTAATAGAAAAGTTTAAGAGTTTATGCATGTGCATTTGCCTGTGGTTATTAGCCACAGATGTCTCCCAGCCCCGGTTCTGCAGTAAGATTCTTTGTCGCCATGCAGTGTGCTAGGGCATTTGTTCATGAGCTGGGTAATTAGCACAGGCCAGATGGTTTAAATGTGGCCCAGGGTCTCTGTGAGTATCCCCAAAACCAGTTTGGCATGAGGCTCAGAAAGGTCTAAACAGCACAGAGTTATGTAAAGTTCAGAGCAACTTTGCTGTTGGAGGAAGCAGCCCCATCTCATAGTGGGCCTGCAGCGCTCCCCCCACCTGGAGCTGACGTTCAGCTGGTGTGCTCCAGTGTGAACGTACATGGTTAGAGTGGGTGTTAGCATTCTAATTGGTTAGTGCCATACTGGTAGTTAATGCTTGTGGTATCACTCCCGCCTCTATCACGTCAGGCTCTATTCCATGGCTCAGAATTGAGAGCTGCGGTGTTTTAACTAATGTTGTTTGCCTTTCCTGAGTGACGCCTGAGGTGGTTGCATGGGCTTTCCCTTGATGCCTGTAACATTGCTCCATTATAACACAGTGTGACTTCCACATTTCCACTGGACCACTCTACAAAAAAGGCTTGGTTGTTAAAGCTTCAGCCAACTTCTCTAACATGCTCCGTCACAGAAGTAGGCTTGTGTGGACAGGTGCCACCCTGTCTGTTTTACTAAAAAGTTTTCCATTTAGATTGTTCAGATCTGTTTAGGTAAACCCGGGTGGACTTTTTTCATGTATAGTTCAGCCAAATCATGATAAAACAGGCCTTCTACCCATTCTGTGAAAAGCTTGCTGTATATAATGGAAACTTCTGATGACTGGATAGGACTGGAGAAAAGCATGTGATTCATGGGAAATTGAAAATTGCATTGAATTTCATAGGTAGGGAAGCTTACTATCTTCAGTGAAGCCTTGACTTTTTTTTTTTTCCAATGTCTCCTATCCCATGAGTCTCTTTTTTTCTTTTTAATATCTTTGACTTTGGCCATTCAAGAGCTACCTATGTTAATGAAACTGCTGAGTGTGTATGTTGGCAGCCCTTTCTCAGCATTAAGTTGCACAGAAGCATTAGTATGTTTTTGCGTAGGTTTGGTTAATCTTTTAAAAGTGGTTTTAAAGTTAAAAAAAAATTTTTCATATAGTCGTCACTGGATACTGTTTTTGTGGTGACTTAACCAGCTGAGGTCTGCCAATGTGACATGTGTGGACTCCTGTGCGTATACTCAAGGTGCCCCCCTTAGCTGCACGTAGACTGCATTGTAGCGGTGCTTGGATTAACTTAGGGAGAGGTGTGAGGCAGTGTGAGTGGGTGGAACTCTTCCAGTTTCGGGTCTGTCATCCATTCCATTACTTTTCTAAGTGCTTTTTCATTTTAAAAAGCTTACTTCAAGATAATAGCCTTTTCTCCCGTCTTAGGCAGCATTTGGCGAAAGGTATGCATGTGTATGCCTTTTTTTATACACTGCAGTGGCTCATCTTTAAAATCAACTTACACTTTATAGTAGTAACTGCATTTAAATAGACTAGGATTCTACATAATTAGAACACTTAAAACCTTAGGATTATTTTTATATTTGTTGAATCTCATTTTTGCTGATTCAGTTAATTTTGCTAATAGAAGAAAGGAAAACAAACAAACAAACTTGAGGGCTGCCTCTGGAACACCCTTTTACTCTTACAGCCGATGCTGGCAAACCTGTCTCCTAGACACCTCCAAGCCAGACTTGGAATTGACTCAAGTTCCCCCTTGTTTCCCCTGTCTCACAAAGACCTCCTTTTTCTAGCCATCTTCACAGTATGGCTTGCCACCAGATGCAAAGGCAATCTGTCCCACATTCCAGATTCCAAATGAAGAAAAAAGAAAACTCTGCCCCTGGGCCTATACTCTGACTGTCCCAGTGTTGGAGCTGAAGTTGATGACCTGAGAACGCCGGTATTACCTCCGAGCTTCTGGGAGAGCTGCAGGATGCCTGCGGAGCAATGACTGAAGCTCTATCATAGCTCCCCAGAGCTGGGCCCTCTTCAGGAGACCCATTTTCTGTCCCCCATTTTCTAGCCCTTCAGGCTCCCCGGGTTTGGGAGGACAACATGGAAACTGCTCCCCAGTCAGGGTCCAGAGCCTCCCTCATAGCAATCTTGCAGCACAGCAGGAAGGCAATGAACGTTTAGTCTGCTCTTAAGGCTGCCCGCATTGGAATGTCATTGGTGTGTGTTCATCTGCAGTTGCTAGTCCCTTGGATCCCTTGGGTTAATTCTGTTGCATCTGTACTTCATTAAAGAATTTTACACAAGCCTTATCTAAAAACAGTAATCTTGGACTGTGGGTTTCATCCTTGCAGTAGTGCGGCTAGGGGAGGTGCAGGTCCTCGTCTCTTCATAGGTGCTGCTTCTGAGGGGCTCCTCTGTGCATCACACGCTGTTCAGATAGGACATCAGTGAAACACATCACTTCAAGACTTGCTTTGAACTGAGGTTTGGTCTCTTTCCTGCCTTTTGGTGGATTCGTGGTGAGGGCTGAAGCTGTCACCCCCCCCTCTACGGGCAGCATTCCTGCTGATTGAAGGACCCGAGAGCTAAGTGGGAAAGACAGCATGCTACATGATGCAGGTCGGAGATTCTGTAAGTACCACCATCAGCAAGGTTGGTGGCTTGTCACCACACCAGGGACTGTATTGGAATTTCCCCGGGTGCTAGGCCGGGGAGCCACACCCGTTCCTATTGGTTTTCTGTCAGCCCGCACAAACTGTCATTTGGCTTACAGAGGATCAAGGGTCTGCAGAATATGGGCTGGTCACTCTTTTGTAAATAAAAGTTTATTGGAACATAGCCATGCCCATTTGTTCGTGTATTTTCCTTGGCAGCTTTCCAGCAGAGTATCATATTTATAGCAGAGACCAAGGGCCTGCAAAGCCTAAAGGATTTACCGTCTGGACCTTTCAGAAAAAGTTTGTTGACCCTCCTTGCTTAAGAAAATAATCGTTTTTCACTAACAAATTTTGCCTGATTGATCTTCTCCTTTCTTTGTCCTCCCCTCCTCTCTGTCCTCTTCTTCTTTTCCCCCTTATCTTACCTCAGTTTTGTTCTTCTTTTTACACTTCTTTATTTTCTCTTGCTACAGAGGAGACACGGTATATTGCTATAGCACACTGACTGCCATCTCCTGACTCGTGAGCTGCCGTAGCCTCACACCTTCCTTCTTAGAACCGCCCGTCACTGCAGCCACAGTGAGGCCACCGTTAGCCTCAAGAGTCAGACCCCGTGAGCAAACAGGGCTTCAGAGTTGTAAATGTGGCCTGGCCTCTCATTTCACTCAGCCTTTATCATAGACTTGACTCCGGCCTCACGTCTTGTTTGTTCCTAAGGTAAGCCAAGATTTGGTTTTTCTCAAAATTAGTTGAGAATACTGTGGTATTCTCATTTACATATTTAGATACGGAAAAAGCCTTTTCACAGAAGGGAAAACAAAGTCCAGTCACTAACCCAAGGTATTTATTATGTAATATTTTGGGCCAGCTTCTAGGAAAATAAAAATGCATCAGCACTGATATTTTTTTAGTCATATACTTTCCTTTCAAAATTATTTTATTAAAGGCAAGCCAGCAAATGAAAACTAGGGGCTTTGAACGTGCTTTTAGGTAAGAATAGAAAATTGGGGCATATTATGTAACCTGAGTGTGACTGAGAAGTTGTACATTATATCTTTGGATCAAATCCAGTCAGCTTCCAGGCTGTTGGGTCTTCCCCGTCCCCCAGAACTCAAGGATAAGCTTCCATACTGGTTTTTTCCCAAAGGAAGTTTGAATGTCATGCCAGTGAAAAAATTTCTGTCAGTGGCCCCAGAACACTGATTATTTCGGTTATTTTGAAACAGACAGTTATCGTTTTGACTTCTCAGCTATTAATTTTTGTCTTCTTATTGCTTGATACCCACTGAAATACTGGAAATTTTTCTGTGAGTATAAAATCAGGTCTATAATCACATCAGCAAGGCAGTCCTCACACCCCAGCAGTAAGTATTCTTCCCTGGGCTTGCTCCCAAATCCTTTTTCAGGGAAAAAAATGAAAATAAAAAGATTATTGCATTTAAAACAAGCAGAATTATGAGAAGCCTTTTGAGGCAGCCTTCAGTTCATTCCGTGAAATGTCAGAACAGTTTGACTACTTGTGCTACAGTGGACATATTGGAAGACTTGAAGGTCTGACCTCTTTCCTTTAGAGATAATAAGTCACACTCAAGCAGAAACCCAGAGCTCTCTGATGACGCTTCTGATGCAGGGCTTTGCCTTGTCGTGCTGGGGACCCGGGAAAGCACCCGGGGCACTTCTGCAGAGGGTGCACTTGCTCATGCTTTTGCTCTTCGGATTGAGCCAAAGCTGGTCGTTTCCTTCCATTACCTCCTGTCTGTCCGATCTTCCTTTTCCCAGAGCCCTGGTGGCATACACTCGGTGCTTAGGGGACACCCTCAGCTTTGTTGTCTAGAGGGGCGGCTGTGTAGTTAGTCCCGTCTGGCAAGCACTGTGACGCACAGAGGCTTTCTCACCGGCCTGAGACCATCCCACTTAATGCAAGGTGGTCAGTAGGCAAGGGACGTGAAGGTATAGACTGCCCATGAAAGAGCAACAACAATGAAACAGGTGCTCATGGTCTTATAGTATGCCGGAGGTTGGAGGAATGCATTTTACCTTTTATTTTTTAAAGGATTATATTTAAAAAAAAAAAAAAAGGAACAGAAACCATATAGTAGTGGACACAGCCTAAAATGTATTCACCACCTGGCTCTTTACAAAAGCTTTACTGACCCTTGCAGTACATCGTTCAGGATAAAATATGAGGACAGCTAGGCACAAACATTTTTTCACATAATCCAGCACTGCACCACATCCTTCCTTTTAGATTTGAGGGGGTCTCACTTGTTCATCTCGGCACACAGCTGCTGTTGCACGTTATTTCTGAGTGATGCTTGTGCACTAAAGAAGAAGAAAAGATCCTTCTTCGTTGATTGAATGTTTGTTGAATCATGATCTGATCTACTAGGACAAGTAGTTAAAACCAGAAGTGCAAAGTCTTTTACGTCTCCTCTGTGGCAGTGCTGCCCACAAACAGATTTGGTAATGAACCTGAATCCCAGAACAGTGCCTCCCCTGGCCAGAACAGGCGTGCCCCTTTCACCCTCTAGCACCCTTTTTCCTTTGTTGTACGCTTGCAAGCTCACTCCCCAAGCTCTGGTCACTACTTGTGAACCTAAACGAATGACCCCCGTGCCCATTTGAACCCGAGTCCAGCCTGCCCTCCCTCCGCCCTCTCGTGAACACCTGCATGTTGATGGCCCCTTGTTGGCACACCAGCAGCTGTAGTCCGAAGAAGTTCTGAGCTCTCTGGCCTGGCTCAGCTCGTCTTGAGGAGCCATCCTTGGCCCCTCCTCTCTTCCCTCTTCTGCTTGTGCCGCCCAGCCCCCTTCTAGGAGGTATCTTCTCTGGGACAGTACCATACCTCCCAAGCATGTCACTGAGCGCATACGTGTCATACTAGAAGCATCTTTCTTTTCATATCCCTTTATTTTCCTTCCAGCATTTAGCCGTTGAGTCCAAATACTCTTCAATTTATCAACTTTTTCAGCCCACTTGTTTTCTATAATCTGCACCTCATGCTGTCTTGCAGCTGAAGCTGTAGTATTGGGGAGGTAGTTTGTGGGAAAGATGCCATACAAACAAGATCTGCATAATTATGTATGTTTATACCACAGGTAGGGATTCGTTTTAAGGCCACTGTATCTTAAGGGTATCAGTTTCACCAGTGTTCTAGGAGACTGTGTTCTTGACTGTGGTTTCCAATACATGGTGTAATACACAGTTACATTCACCACTGTTGAATTTATTTCACTGTGTAAATAGTGGTATTTTCCTGTTCAAATGCTTCTATAGAAAGTATTTATTTTAACAACAAAAAATTAACTGTCGAAAGGGCTTTCCAAAAAAGTGTTCTTTCTAGCCACCTGTCCTCCCCAATTACCTTGCTCATCCATTGAACCCCCAAACAACACAGTGAAGGCAGAAGGGTGCCACCTCAAAACCCTCACTCTGGGCAGACGCAGCGTGGGTTGGGAATCTGAGTGTTTCCCCCCACTGTCATCCCATCCCAGAACAAAGTGAGTCTCCCACAACTGGTATGGCTGTGCCAGGCATGGCATCGGGGCTTGCCTCAAGCCGCCCACTTTTTTTGCATACGCAGTTGATACCTTCCAACTGTCCACTCAACACCCTGTCCATGGAAACGAGCCTTAGTTGTAACCCCAAGGAACTCCAAACCCATACCTGTGGGGCTATGGAGAAACCACTGGTGGCCTAAAGAAAGCATTAAGATGTATTTTTAGTCTTTCTCACGTTTGTGAAAGACACACACCTATTCACATTCATTAACCATGGGAGATAAGCACGTTTCCTTCTGCACCTTGACAGTACTCTTGAGCACCTCAGCCCTCCTTCTCCTCACCCTCCTCCTTGTCTTCCCCCTTGCATTCCCCCTTCTCCCTGTCTCAGCAAACATCTGTGCAGATGTGGCCAGCCCCACCTGTCACCCGTGGTTACAGGAGGAGACCGTCTGCTCTAAGGTGTGTGCAGCTTTACCTCTCAGGAGTCTTGGTCTGCAATTCAGAGCACCCCTAGATTTAACGGAACGGATGCTTTATGATCGTGTTCCTCTTCTCTGTGCCCCATTCCTGGGCACCTCTGTCTGAGCCGTGACTCTCATTCTCCGCAGCTGGCTGGACTGAGAACCACGGCTCCAAGACCAGAGAGCTTGGGACTGGACACGTGGTGGGGGTGGGGTGGGGGGAGGTTCTCATCCGCTTGAACCGTAATTTGCATATTTTCTTATGGCCTCCCTTTGTCTTTTCTAACAAACGAGGAGGACACTTGAACAGCAATCCTGGAGAATGTTTTTTCTAAGATACTATTTGTAAGCAAATCTGATTTTAAGATGAAATGTGAATGGGTAACTAGATGCCAGGGAATTTAGCACTGAACTAGACCGTCAAAACTTTTTTAACCTTTGCAGGAGGAAATAAATTTTGCTCTCATCTAATGTTCACAAGAAGTAATGTTGTAAATAGTTTTTTAAAAATATTTATTACACGTGCTGTATACAGATTCATGTTCTGAGTGATGTTGGTTTGCATTGTAGTATTGTAGAAGACTATATTTTGAGCAGTGGACTTCCTTTCATAACACAGTTCACACATGGAGAAAGAACAAAAACCAGCAGGTTGAGAGCTGTTTGGGGCATTTGATCTGTAACGCTACATCAAATCCAAGCTTTAATTGCCCCCTCTTCTCATCTGGTTATGCCATATATATATATATATATATATATATATATATATATATATATCATATGTGTGTGTATATACATATCATATATATATATCATATATATGATATATATATATGATAAACCGGTCAGTTCCCAGATCTGCAGAGCAGATTTCCAGGTGTTCTTTCTGATGTGTTGCCCATAAGCAATAAGATCCTAGGTAATAACAATTTACTCTGGGCTCTGCGTTGGCCCTTGTCTCAGAGGATAGGGTGGGGGTAGAACAGCTCTTGCTAAGACCTCTTGCCTTTGCCGGAGAGGTGGCTGTACTTGAATTTTTGCTTCTGTTCGTCTGCACGCTTCTTCATGTCCTACAACTCTAGCAATGGATGAGAAATCTGCCAGCACCAGACACATCAAAGATTGGGCATAGAGATTGAAAACTGATCTATTTTTCCATGAATTTGCAGGGCTTCCAGAATCTAGTCGAGGCAAAGCTCATTTGGCTGTGAACATAAGAACTTTTTACATTAAAATTTTAAATTGACAGTTAAAAGCCCTTTGAGTCTATCTGCCCTACCTTGGAAAGCTAAGCCCACTTCCTGTGATCCTCCTCTGTGCCTGGGTTTGAAATGTCTGGGGTTAAGCCGTTTAGATGGGAGCAAGGAAGGCAGTCCCTCCTCTCCCAGCGTGTCCAGTTCAACAGGTTTCTAAGCTGTTTAGCAGCCTCTCCTTGTGACCGTCCTAAACTTTATGAAAAATACCCCACACCCGAATAACCATTAATAGAATAATGTAGTTTTTTAGGCTTTTGGAATATGTCTTCTCTTTTGTATTTATGACGGTGTTTGGAATTTTTCACTAGTGTTTTTTTAGATTGAAGTGGGTGCGTTAGAATAAAACTTTCCGCTGCTGAGCCTGAAAGCAAGCAAGAGGAAAGAAGCTGACCTATATTGTGTCATTGGGAAGGTGACTACTGTGGTGGGAGGGCGGGGAGGGGGCGTCGTAGATTATGTGCTAGAACTCTGGCCTGAGGCTCCCCACGTGTTTATTACCTTGTAATAAATAATCCCTTTATTAGCCTCACTTAATCTCAATAGAAGCCTGCTGTTTACCCTCAGGGAACAAGTAGTTTTCAAAATTGAGCTCCTCCAAGGTCATCGGCCAGTGCCTGTGTGCAGGCAGTGGTCGTCTTTGTGAACTCATGGCATTATTTTCCCATATGCATTATGGTAGTAAGGAATTCAACCCCAACCTGTATGAAAAGCACAGCCCAGGGTCCTACTTTAGGCTAGAGTTCATGCCTTTCAGGGGCCAGGGGGCCATAGGAGGCCCATGCAATTTAACTGAAGCTCAGGTGCCGTGTTGGGTTTTTATTCTTTTTAGGCCACGACCCTTCAGAATGAGATTAGGGCAGGGGCTGCTGATCCGGCTGTGGATCCAGGGAGCTCTAAGATGAATCTCTACCGTTCCTTTAAGGTCTTTCTGGTTCCTCCCAGTGTTGTCATTGCCGAGGTCAATCTTGTAGTTGTTCAGATGTGCTCCTTTTTGCTGTCTTGTGAGTCTTAGCCAGTGATCCAGATGCCTAAGGAGAGAGTCTCTGGATTCTCGGTACCAAGTGTGTGCCCCTAACCTGTGTGCAGGTGGTGTTTCCGAAAGCAGTGAATTGAGAAGTTCTACAAATGTTAATCTGGATGATAGATGTGTATCCTTGGGCCTGGATTTCCACTGTGTTAGTGAGTGTAGGAAAATACTGTGTCTTTAATGGATGAAAATTCAATGTATGCTGTGAATTTGTTGGTTTGAAACATTGAAAATTTTTCATTAGACAATGTTTACATACCTCACCTGAAGAACCTTTGAGAGTGTATATATGAAATTTAAAAATATATTAAGTTGCTTTAAAACAATATGTATAGCTATAAAAGTTGGAGTTATTTTAACTTTGAATATGTACCAAGTCTCTTAAATATTGAAATCTTGTGGACTTTTTGTGCTTCTGTGTTTTACTTTCCTATTAGGCCATGTAGGAAACTGTGTTCTTGTTATTGGTAAAGGGGCCCTCACTGAAATCCAAGCTTGGATGGATTTCCTTTGTTGTTTCAGATTTTCTTGTTTGGTTTTGAGGGATGGGGTATGGAGCTAGAGGATGTGTGGGAGGGATTTCTCTAACATTGACATCTATTCCATGAGCTTTTTCTAGGCGCTTATTTTATTGCAGCGTATTAAACTTCTTTGATATTAAAGTGTGTTTGTGTAGTTACTGGACAGGGAACAGAATGCACTGAAGCCCAGGATTCAACTTGTAGCCTGTGGCAAAGTTGAGCAGTTGCCAGAAGGAACCAAAAGACAATACTTCTAATACTTCTGCCTCGGCCACAGTGTTGGCACATAAGGGAATGTTGTTTGGTAGATCTGAGGCCATTTTGTGAGGTATGCCTAACTTCGGGGAAAAGAAAACACTGCGGATGAATCCTTGGAATTCCCATGGTGGAGTTGGAAAGGTGCCAGTGCTTCATCCTGAGGGGCGGGGGACCTGGTGAACCAGGTAAGCCACTGTTAAATACCAGGGTGATACGCACAGCTGCCAAGGGGGGCTGCCCGGCTGTCTGTAGCCCATGTTGGGGAAGGGCAGAACGTTGGCATTTACATTTACTAGCCCCATGACCTGTTTCACTGTATTCTTTCAGTTCTGCTTCAGAGGGGTTTATGTAAGGGTCCAGTGGGCCCGTGATTTCCTTTTGGAGTCAGCCATGGTTTCCTGAATACGTTACAGGACGGTGGCCATTGACATGCAGAACTATATCCGGTGAAAATAACCCCACCTCTGTTCACTTGAATTTGGAGAATTTATCTCGTTCCAGATTAGGAGTTTTCATGGTTAAAATAGACTTCTTTTCCTCCCATATTCATCCCATGGGAGGATAACTAGAATATGGCCTGAGAGGTGCAGACTGACTGGCTTGGGGTGAGGGGACGTCTCTAAAATTAGCTCTGAGAGCACAGAGTATAGGGGTGATAGACATGCTTTAGCACCAATCTCGGGAAAACTTGGCAACTCTAGCTGGAAGCCTGGTCATTCTTTCTGTTGCTTCCACTCCCCAACCAAGCCCTGCTATGCTCATTTCCTTGGTCAGGGATTTCCTTTTAACTGTTAAAGTTGCTACTTACTTTCCTTTAATTCAGAGGTTGCAAACTGGTGGCTCACAGTTGTATTTTATTGAGCCCAGTGTTTAAAAAAAGTTGTCTGTACACATGAACTGTGAGGGTTTACATAAAATTTGGTTTCTGGCTTCTCTTTTAAAAATCATAATGAAGATCTAATAAAGTTAGTGCATGGTACGAATCAGGTAGAGCTCAGTAGATTGGAAAATGTGCCTCTAAGGTCACCAGAAGTCCCTAACTGTCAGCTGCCATTTGTCCCTTTTTTCTTTAACGGTGGGGAAATCGGTCTCTTACCCGCTGCTATATCGGAAGTGGTAATACAAATGATGGGCTAGAAGGGCAGGTGCCCATTTACTTAGGTAACCTATTGGCCAGACACTTGAGCTTACAACCCTATTTTAACCCATTTTCTTCCTTATACCCAGTTCATTACATTTCCTCCCAAATCCCTAATTGCTTTGCAGACACTGCAGTTACCATCACCGCCCACTTTCAAGGTGACCATGTGCTGTTCAGGTATGACTTGTGTAACCATCATCATGATCTAGTGGGGAATCAGTCTCTGATCCTGGCAGCAGAGGAGAACCAGGTGGGTCTCCTTGGTGGTGGGGGCCTTGCCCAGCCCGACTGCCAGCACCTGGCCTCACCTAGATGCTCAGGTCATGCATCCTAAAAAATTGCTAAGAGCAATTCTACAGTCTGGAGTCATAGTAGAACTACTGTAGAAGTGTGTTTGCTTTCTTTCTCCACTGATCCCTATGAACCACTCTTCTAGTGACACTCAGGTTAACCTTACAGGACAGTTTGAGAAACCGTACTGCTTTCTAATCTGTTGCCCCAGTGAACTGAAACCTTCAGAGCCAGGTTGAATGTGGATGTGACTCTGTTCACAAACTCTGGGTGTGACTCCAGATACTTGAGGGGAAATGAGGATGAGGACCCCTCCCCTGCCCAGATCTCTGCGTGTGCTGTGCAGGGCCAGGCTCTGCCCCTGCACTCACATCCCCAGGGAGCTATGACCAAGCCATCCCCCAGACCTCCCCTTCCTCCTTTGGGAAGAACCGACCTCCTCTGCCACTTCATGAAGACCAGAGAGTTCCAAGGGCAGGTGTCCTACATGTGCTGCCTCTGAGAGCCATCGGGGGGTTGTGGCCAGTGTGTAGGCAGCCCAGAAACCCTCAAACCCTGGGAATCTGCATGTCAGCAGCCCTGGGCTCATCCTTAGTGCAGAAAAAGAGATCAACAAGGCAGAACCTGAGTGAATCAATGTCATGTTCACATGGAAGACAACAGACAATATCCAACATGTTCTAGAATAATTCTAGGGAAAGGGCAGGTGTGGCTCCCTCACGGGCCTGTTCTAAACCAGTCTCTCTAAAAGAGTGATCCAGATAAGACTACAGACAGAGACCCCTAAACAAAGTGTCACTACCACACAGCATCTGAAAATCAAAACGGGACACGAGATATTGACTTTAACATATAAAAATACTATAACAAAATGAAATACAAATATATATTAGAATCTGTTAAGTATTCTGTATAAAGAGATACTTTCGTGGTTAGGCTAACAGCAGGCAAAGAGGAGACGAGTCCGGCCTATTCCTGACACCTTCCCAGGGAGCCCCGGCCACCGTCGCCAGCAGTGCTACCAAAGCAGCAGCAACCTCAGGACTTGCCCCGCTTGTGTCCCTTCGGTGCATGTTGAATGGAGACAGCCGGTGGTGACACCAAAGTGAACGAAGGTCTTTATCAGAGGGGTGACAAGGTGTGGAGGTGATTAATCGGAGCTTGTTTCGCCAGAGCCTTCTCCTGGGCCTAAATGTGGACGGACGCGATGAGCGGTGGTCCAGTTCCTTAGCAACTTGCAGGTTGGTGGTTGAGGAAACGATGATCCTGGGACACACCACGTGGCTCCTTGCTGCCCTTACTCTTGTGGTGGATCCCAATCTTGCAGCTCCACTGAGGGTGCATGCGGGGCCAGGCTGACATGCGGGGTGTTGTGGAGGGCCGGGTAGGGGCGGCACCCAGCTCACAGGGTACCCCCTGCAAACGCACACCCCGTACTCTGCCCTCCCAACCCCACGGGAGCGGGAGAGCAGGACTCCTGGCAGCCATCACCCATCCGCAGATGAAGAGGCTGCTGCTGGTTAGTGCCCCTCAAGCTCAGGAAGCCACTTCTACTCCAGGGCAGTGGCGGAGTGGTGGTGGCCACGGGAAGGTAAGTGTCTCGGGGTCAGTTGGCCCAAACACCTCTCTTCCGTGGAAGGGGTAAGTGCCAGCTGCACTTGAACTTTCCTCCATATTATCAGTACCTGCCTAGCGCTAGAGCTGCTCTCCAGGGTCTCACGTGGTCCAGAAACTGTAGGTAAGAGAGGGATGCCGTGCAGCCCTAGGAGAAGGCCCTCAAGGCTGCTGTCCACGGAGAAGGGCACCGTGGCCCTGCTCAGAACCACAAGAAAGTAGAGCCAGGTCCCTGGTGAGAAGCAGATCCAGCCATGAAAATGCCTCTGCAGTTGGGCAGGGCAGGATCCTCTTCCCATTACAGGGCTTCCAGGGCTCCAACTCGCTGGCCAGAGTCCTGGTGTAGTAGAGCGTGCCAGGCTTCCTCAGTTGTCGGAGGCTCCAGCCCTCTACCGCTCAGCACCAGGAGCTCCTCCCACCGCCCATGGTGGCTGAGGACACAGGTGCACTACCACCTCAGCCCCACCCAGCAGGCTCCCCCAGCCCTGTCTTCTGTTTACAGGTGGAAGGAGCCAGGAAAGGGACATGCTTGCTCCTCTTGCCCACTGGCGTCCCCTGGGGGCACACTGTCTTGGGGAGACATCTGGACAGGAGAGTGTGACCTATCTTCTAGCCAGCTTGCTATTTAAGCTCAAAGATAATCTGTGTTTTCATTGTGCATGGAAGAGAAGCATGGAAGCATGGAAGTTGTAGTCACATGGCCCATATTCAGTGACTCTTCAAACACAGAGTCCTTCCTTGCAAACGCCTGGGGTAAGCAGCCCTAGCCTGGGCCAGTGTCTAGTGGTTGGAGCCCTCGCTCGGCTCAACTCTTCCCAGGCATCCCGGTCATTCCTGTGATGCTCTACGATTAGTTCATATCTGTCCATGAGAGCAGAACACCCACAGTGCCAGCCCAGTTAGGCACATAAATACTTGATGTGATTCATGAACATGCATCTTCTACCTCCTCTAGCCTCCCTTCCGGAGCCACAGTGGGAAGGTCTACGTTGCTCATATGTATGTTCAGTCAAACCACCTCCCCATGGGACAGCTAGGAGACAGAGGACCATAGATGGGGAAGACGTTTGCCCAGAGTGACAGGCAGCAGAGGTTTCCTGGTGCCTGTACCACTGCTCCCTACTGGCCTGCACGGTGAGGGGGTCTGGACCCAGTCTCCGTGGGAGGGGAAGCCTCCCTGGCTAAGCAGCCTAGACCACACCCCCTTGCCCCTGCCAATGGCTTGACAGCATCCTGTGGCTGGCTAGGGGCTAGGAAGGCCTCGGACCAATGCCCCTTTGGTGGTGTCTGGAGGTGGTGGTTATTCTGCTGGAACCAAGAACCTTCCCAGCGCCTGTCCTCTCTGGTGGGACTGCCACTCCAAACAGACCCAGTGGACGTTTTTGAAGCTACAATGGTCAACTCGTAACTTCAGGATTCAGGGGTCTGGTCCTAAGGGACCCTCCTCTAGCTGCAGCCTCACTCCCCATGGAGCAGTGGCTTTAGTGCTACATCAGCCCAGGAGGCAAGGGTTAGTCCCTTCCCGGCCAGCAGGAGGGGGCCCTTCCCCTGCGCAGCCTGGCCTACTGCTGGCAGATGCTGCTGCAGCAGCAGAAAAAGCAGAGATCCTGGCTGGCTGCCCCAGGGGAGGCTTCAAAGTTATCTGCAGGGGACAGGGGGCTTCTGAGGGCAGTGTGGGCCACCTGCGAGAGGGAAAGGCTGTTTTGGGAAGGGGCCAGTCCCTTCTTCGGACCCAGGTAGTAGGCAAGCAGGGTGGGTGGCGGGGAGGGTCATCATTCTGTGCACTTCTTGGCCTGACCTCAAGCACACATTCATTCAACAAATATTTATTAAGCGCCTGTTTGTGCAAGGCACTTCTGGAGAGGGCGGCCTAAAGCCCGGGCCACGCCCACCCACCCCACCCCACCCCCAGCTGCCGGCCTGGTCACCCCCCCCCCCCCAAGAGATTGCTGTGGGGTGGGGCCAGAGGGCCCTGCCACTCAGGAACAGGCAGGATGGCCCGCACCCCCACCCCACTGCGGGCCACCCGGCTTCACTGCAGCCGTGCCCTCTCGCCTGCCTCACCCCTCCCCGTCTAGCCTGGCGCTACTCGCAGAGGGCACAGCCACACTTGGTGGGCTTCTCCACCTCCTCGGCAAAAGAGGTCCCGTCGCTGCACTCAAAGGTGAACTTCCTCCGCTTCAGCCGCAGGCCCTGGCAACAGCCCTGACCTGGGCATGAGCCCCGGCACTCCACCCACGACAGCGGGCGCGTGGTCTGGCAGATGGCATAGCCCCTCTGGACCTGGTGAAAGTCCCGGACAGGGTCCCCCCGGCACTCGGACTCTGGATAGGACAGACACCAAGAGAAAGCCTCAGGGCACACCCATGGGCCAGCGCCGGCCCCGGGGAGGCCGGAGGCGGCAGAGAGGCGCATCCAAGGACCAGGTCCTCTAGCGCTTAGACTCCACCTCCGACCCCACCCGACATGCACATGCACAGGCTTCCTTCTGGGCCCATAGGCCAGTCAGTAGGAAGAATTTTCTAGCTGCCAGGGCCCTCCAGGATAGATTAGGCTGTCAGGTAAGTGGGCTCCCAGTTGCTGGAAGAGTGCAAGAGGAGGCTGGAGACTGGGGAGGCAAGAACAATACAGAAGGAATCTGTGCCAGGAGCAGGGGCCTAAGGGCCCCTGAAGGTGCTTGAGTTCTGGACTTCTCCAGCTTCCCTCTGCCTAGCCTCAGCAGTCTCAATCCCAGCAGAAACATCTTGGTTACACGGGCCAGGGAGGGCCTGGGAAAGAGTCCCCAACCCTCAGACTTCCTGTTGCTCTTGGGTCGCAAGGTGATGGGGCCAAGATGTGGAGGTTTGTGCAGGAGCTGTTCCCCTGGGCAGCCCCTTCGATAAGGAGAGACCCCAGCCAGAAGGGGCACTTGCCCTGGATAAGGGGGCTTCAGGGCAAGCCGAACCATTTGGGGGTGGGGGTCAGAGCCTAGAGGGTAATGGGTACTACGGCCCAAGAGCAGCCCAAGATGTGGGAGAGGAGAGGGGAGGAGGCACAGAGGGGATGCCAGGGTTTGGAGGAGGAAAAGTCAAGTCACTAATGCAAGTTGTGGGGAGGGGCCCTGGAGAGGGCATGTCAGGAGGGGGGCCCCTGACCTTGCTCACACAGCTCGCCCGAAAAGCCTGGGTCACACACACAGTGTGCCCCTTTGGTGGCCAAGGCCTGGCAGTGGCCATGCAGGCACTGCAGGCCCCCGCAGGGGTCTACAGGTGCCCCAGCCTGGTTGCACAGAGCCCCCGAGTACCCATCCTGGCACTGGCAGCTGTAGGAGAGAGCGTCGAGGGGCATACATTCCCCGTGGACACACCTGGAGGGGACAGAGAAAAGGTACTGTGAGAATAGGCTGGAGCTAGTCCAATCCCAGGGAACCCACACCCCCAGCTTTGGCATCCGGGGAGGTTATCCTATTCCTAAGACTGAAACAAGGGAGAAAAATGTGATTCTGTATCCCTAGGGACCTCTTCCTGTTAATAAAAACTGAAAACTACGGGAAAAAAATGGAAAAAAAACCCTGTGCTGGGCCACATGTTCCAGTTTGGGGTGTTAAAAGTACAGTCTATGCAGCAGCCCTCAGCATGGGGAAAGGGACGGGCAAGGGGTGAGGGCTCCCCGAACCCAGCTCAGGCTCACTTGTGGCCATGGCAGGGGCCGTCGGCTGGCTGGTCACAGTGTAGGCCCCCCCAGCCGGCCTCACAATGGCACACGGGCCCAGGGGTGGCATTGGGCTGGCAGATGCCATGCAGGCAGTAGAGCTTTCGGCAGGGCTCACAGCCTGGCACCACGCCTGGCTTCATCCGCGTCTTGGTGAAGTCCTGCAGTTCGTTGTTAATGTACAGGTTTCGGATGCAACCGTGGAAGCTGGTGCCATTGAGGATCTGCCACAGGCGGAAGGCAGCCGAGTTCACATCCACTGGCATCCCTTGGGTGGGTAGGAGCGAGCAGAGTTGGGCTGAGTCAGGCTCAGACCATGTCTGACCCTACTGCCCTCGGTCCACTGGGCATCTCCACAGTGTTCCCTCCCACCCTCGGCCTCCGTCTTTCTGTCTTTGCAACCCTGAGCCAAGATCCTTTGCCACCTTGGAGGGTCCAGACTCCTTTCCCCCAGAAAACAAAAAAGGAAAGCCTGTTCCCTCAATGACCAGAACCCACAGGTGCCAGGCTTGGCAGTGGCCAGCTGACAAAGGAAGCTCTGGGTGCCTAAAGTCTGCCCTCACCCTTCCCGCCCTCTGGGATACCAGCTTTCACCTCCCAAAGACTCCAAAAGCAGCAGAGGACCTGGGCCTGGAACCAAGGTGTATGCTACTTTGTCACCTGCTGTCGTGGTGATCACAGCAACCCTTGAGGGAGGAGTAGCTGAAACCCATCTTGTGGTCAGTGATTTGCCTGAAATTGTACGACTAACAAACAGCAGAGTTGGGAGTAGAGCCCAGGGCTCTCTCCTTCACACCCGCCTGCAGTCTCACCAAGGCCCTCTGTTGCAGAGAACCGACTTGTTCAGACCTGGAAATGTTGGCGGGTGGCAGACAGGGGCATTTAACCTGCAAAGCCTGTAAAGCCAGCTGGGAGGTCCCCAGCTGATGCGGAGACTCCTGCTGGGTGCCTGGGTCTCTCACAGCAGCTCCAAGACTGGGAATGGACCCTGAATGCTTGACAAGCCCCTTCTGGCCCAAAGACAAGAGGGAAAGTACCCACTTTGGAAAAGAGCTAGGAAAGTTCCAGGCTTCCCCCAAGGCCAGGCTAACCTAGGCATCTATCCTTCTTGGTCGGTCTGAGCTCGACAGCAGCCTGGGCTCCAGGCCAGGAAGGACAATCCCTTGGCAGCTTGGAATGCCCCTGTCATCCGGTGGCCTGGGCACCAGCTGTCCTGGCAAGACTCAGGCCAGAAAGCAACAGAGGCCCCACCTGGAATGGCTGTCACATTGCTTGATGGGGAGGCCTGGGGAGAGCCAGCCGCAGCCTCAACCTGGCCAGGTCCTTACCTCCCACGTAGAGGGGGGCCTCGCTGTTTAGTGTGTAGTGTTTGCCAAAGTTGTCCATGGTCATGGGACTGCCTCCATCGATGGAGAGATTCACCATCTGGTCAAAGGTGACTAGCTCAACAGTGTGGAACTGCCCGTCATTGATCGTCTCAGCACTAGAAGAAGAGGGGGTGCCCCCACCCCAGGGAATGGGCTTCAGTTCAGCCCATCCCTGCCTGGGTCCTTCCCCAAAAACGCCACTGGTCAGCAGCTGCTTTCCAGGGAGAGACCATGGGGACTCGGTGGCCTGGGGCCTGGCCCCTCCTGCCCTGCTTCTTGGGACTCCCCAGGGAAAGGTGAGCAGTTTGGGGCAGGGGTCTCCAAATTATCCCCCCTCCCCTTCCCACTACAGACCCCCTTGTGAGGGGGAGGTAGGATAGGGAAGGGTCGGTCCACTGCTCAGGCCTCGATCTCAGCCTCAGCTCCAAGATGGGCCCAAATACTGTATCTTCCTACATGGGCAGCCCAGGTTCTGGAGGTCCCGATAACCACCTGCTCTTGGCCTGGGACACCCTGAGGGAAGGCGGTGGGTATGAGGAAGCCTTACCTGTAGATGGCAGAGCTGGGGTAGCTGCCTGGGTCGTAGCTGACACGCACATGACCCTGGTACAGCTCCACTGCAATGTGGTCATTGTCCCCATTGTACAGCAGGATCCCGTTGTCCTCTGCCGTGGAGACCTGATGGGCAAGGGCACTTTCTCTGCCACCCCACCCCACCCAGCAGTGGCACAGGTAGGTGGGACAGATGGGGGATCCACATTTGGAAGAGGGATGCTGTGCGTAGAGCTGCCCTCCCCTGGCTGCCCAGGGGACACATCCTCAAGGGGATGCTGACAGAGGCTGGCAGCCCCTGGTTCAAATCCCATCCACTGCCAGGCTGGCCAGGGCCACAGAGAGAAGGCAGACAGACCAGCTGAGGCCTGGAAACGACGTGTGAGAAGGGGCAGGTAAGAGACCTTAGGACTATGTGCCCGGAGAGGAAAGTCAGATCGATGCAGGGTAGCTTGTTCTATGGGCCTCTGGGAGCCACAGAGAGGACAAGGTGAAGAGGGCTAATAGCCATGACCACCCAAACCTGGAAGGAGCCACTCAGGAGGTAGCACCGGTCTCTGAATCTGTGTGAGCAAAAGCTGGAGTTGCCTTGGTAGGGGGAGCCCTCTGTGAAGCCGTAGAAACAATGATCCTGCCTTGTCCCTCTTCCCCTGTTGCTTCCGGTAGACAGCCTGACTCCCTGGTCTCATACACAGGGCTGGCACACGGCCCAGGCTGGACACCTCATAGCACCCGTTTCGCTGGACTCAGTGACTGGTCCAGGGATGGGAATGGGACTGAAGACAGGCCAGTGACGGGGACAGCAGGAGGTGCCTGAGGCAGTGGCTGGGAGGGTGTGGTGAATTTTATTTTACTGAGCAGTTGGGCTGTGTTGTTGCAGTATAGACAGTGTACATGGGCAAGACTTAGGAGAGGTGATAAAGTGGGGGAGAGCACAGTAAGCACGTCGGGAGGCTGAAGGGCTCTGGGAGAAAAGAAGAGGACAGAGAGGAGAAGTGGCTGCCAGGGTAGGGAATGCAGCTGTTGGAAGAGGGAGATGGCCAAAGAGGAGACGCAAACTTTTATCATGCGATGTGCACTGTCCTCTCCCTCCCCAAGAAACGTTTAGCAAACAGTGCCATTCAAGTGGGACCCGCTCTTTGCCCTCGAAACACTGATGTTCTGAGATGAAATTCAAGACACGAAATGGCAAAATAAGGGCCCCAGGGACAGGTGGCCAAAGATACAAGCCCAGAGCCAACCCTGACTGCGTCCTAGCCACGTGGAGAAACCCGTGTGCAGCATTCGAGGCTGAAGCTCAGGAGTAGGCGAGACTGGATAGTGGCAGAGGACCCGGTCACCCAGGAGACCACTTCCGGCCCTGCCTTGAGACTGCTTCTGTGACCTGATAACATTTCCAGATGTGCCTGACCCACATCCCAAGGGTTTTGACTGACACAGGCTGCTCCCAGTTTTGGGCGAGGATGCCGCTTGATGCTCGGACCTGAGGCCACAGCCCCCTGCTGCCTGACTCCCCTCTGTGACTGGCGCCCTGGGCACGCACCTGCAGCGTGATGTTGGCCCGTGGCCAGTTCTGCAGATCGGTGAACTGCAGGTAGGTGTCCCGATCCACAAAGTTAACACTGAGCAACTTCTCACACTCGGGGCCGCCGAAACCTGGAAGGCACTGGCACACCGGCCCGCTGCCCTGGTCCACACAGTTGGCTCCATTCTGGCACTCAGTCCCCTCGCAGGGGCTTCTGGGGGCAGGTGGGCGGGGAGGGGTCTCACAGAACTGCCCACTGAGAGGGAAAAGATACAGGTCAAAGGAGGGGCAAGGCAACATCTTTCTCTCCCACAGTCCTGGAGAGAAATCACTAAACATCTTGGGAAACTGGACCCTTAAAGCAACAGAAGATGTTCCTAATGAACACTTTCCTCGAGAACAAGCCGGAAGGATACTGAAGACAAGGTAGGAAACAGGGGTGGTCCCTGGACCAGCATCATAGCTATCACCTGGGCATTTGTCAGAAATGGAAAACCTAAATCTGCTTAACAAGATCGTGTGCGCATTAAAGCTTGAGAAGCACTCGTGGCTCGTGGCAGTCAAGTCTGCTAGCAAATTTTACTCTTGCCCATTTTACAGAAAAGAAAAAACAGACACGAGCAAAAGAGAGAAGACTCCAATTACTAAACAAATACAAGAGGGGACAGTACTTCCGGCAGGTAGTTCTGACACAGCATACATCCTGTAGCGTCAGCATTCACAACAGCCCAAAGCGGAAATAACCCAAATGCCTGTCAGCGGATGAATGGATAAACGAGTGTGGTCTACTCATGCAGCGGAATACTATTTGGCCACAAAAAGGAATGAAGTTCTAATACATGCTCCCACATGGATGAACCTCAAAGACATGACGCTAAGTGAAAGAAGCCAGTCACAAAGGACCACAGATTGTATGATTCCATTTATATGAAATCTTCAGGATAAGGAACTCTACAGACAGATATCAGATTCTTGGTTGCCTGGAGCTGAGATGGGGGGCGGTGGGGTGACAGATAAGAGGTATGGAGTTTCTTGTTGGAGTAATGAAAATGTTCTAAAATTGATTATGGTTAACGCATGCAAAATCCTGATAATAGAGTGCAAGCCACTGAATTATATACTGAAGCTGGGTGAATTGTATCTCAATAAAACCATGGGGGGAAAAAAAAAAAAGACCCAAGCAGAGCACGGGAGGTGGATGGCCAGAAGGAGGGCAGGTGTTCCTCACCCCCAACTCTTCAGAGAAGTCGGGCTGTGAAGGTAAATGACCTTTACGCTAGGACGTGTCTTCAGAGGTTTTGCTGGGCAGGATGTGGTGGGCATTGGCCAGTAATCTGTACCCACCACCCCCTCCCTCAACCAAACAGTTTAGGGACCCTGTGCCTATGATCCAAGTTGTTGGGTAACTTCCCCAAGGCCACACAGCTAGGGATGGCATAGCCTTGGTTAAAACCCCAGGATCCAACTTCCAGGCTCTGACCCTGGCTCCCTCCTGCCGGCTCAGCGGCTGGAGGCTAGAAGGCCTCAGTCACTCGGGGCACAGAGGGACCACTCACCTGTAGCCTTCAGCACAGAGGCAAGAGTAGCTGTTGACTCCATCCACACACCGGGCCCCATGCTGGCAGCGGTGGTCCCTGCAGTCATCCTGGTTCTCACTGCAGTTGTTACCTGCGTAACCTGATGCGCACTCACACCTGGGGGCGTGGGGGGATCAGTCCCTCACTCAGCCGGGAGCCCGCAGGGCCCAGGGGCTATGTGTACGTGACAGAGAACCTCAAGGCCTGCGCGTCTGTGGGACACCCAGGAGATCAAGCAGAGCTCTGGAGAGAAAGATGCCCCCAGCCCGTCCTGGTACGCTTTTCTGGCACAAGAAAGGAGCTTGTGTGGGCTTCTGAGTGACAGCAGCTTCCGGGCTAGGAGGATGGACACCGAGGGGCACGAGGAGATGGGGATCCGGTCACGGAAGACCCACCCTGGCCACTGACCACACAACCGAGGCCAAACTTCAGTCCCTTCTCGACCTGCCCAGCTGCTCCCCAGCACAAGGCCCTGAATCCTGGGGCTCATCTTGCCCTCTTCTCCAGCCTCCCCAGCTCCACTGGACCAGCCTCCTGGCCCTCCCTCTGCAGGGCTGGTGCCCCCTCTCAGCGATTCCAGCCCAGCCCCCAGCCTCGGTGACCTGGGGGTCAACCACTTGCCTATCAAATCAGGAGCGCACTCCTCCCCCTACTTTTCAGTCACAGCCTCGCAAGATGCCCCCTGGCCTGCTCCCCCCACATCGGGCCCACCCCGTGGTCAGACTGGTCTCCACTGGCAGCAGCCCCCATCCCACCCACCAGCACTTCCCTACCTTCACACCTATTGATTCTGGAACATCCCCCTCCTCTCTCCCTGCCCCAGTCCAGCCTGGCCAATAACCTCACCTCCTCCAGGAAGCACCCCCAGCTATCATCAAGAGATTCCCTGTTGGAAACTCTTTAAACTGCAAACTCCATGGTTCAACCACGCAACCTGGAAGGCAGGTACCCCTGCCTGGATGTTTTTATTCATTCCCGGTTTTCCAGGCTGTAAGCGACACCTTCCTACCCCAGTGAGCATGCACACACACGCACCCGTATGGTTTCACGCCACAATACTTTTCCTTACTACGTAAAATGGCATGTTGCTTCTCAATGTTAGTTTTTCACGGTACTCTTGACCCACCCTATTGATCGCAATGCCCTACTGGGTCTTGGGCTGCAGTCTGGAAAATGTGCTGCAGCTGAGCCTCCGCCCACTCATTTACATTCGCTCCCTCGGTCATTCAGGGACTGAATACCCGCCGAGCTGCAGGCACAGTGGAGTTACTTACACCCGCCCGCAAAAACAGGAGAGCGAGAACAGGCACCACACAGCTGCTCTCTGCTCATTTCCCAGCACAGGGCGAGGGACCGCGTGCAGTCCTGTTTTATTCTATGTCTGAGGCCCAGCCCCTCTGAGCGGCAGCCACACCCCTCGAGCTGCCACTGCCCCTCTGCCATGGCAACTCCACCCCCAGCGGCACCCCACAAGTGCAGCATCTGGGCGGCATTTGGGTGGGGTCTCCCATGCACCCCTCAGTCTCAGGCTGGACCTCAATAACCCCGGTCTCTTGCTTCCTGCCACTGTCCTTGGGCAGCTCCTGCTGGACAGTGGGCTTCCTGAGGGACTCGACCCCTGACCCTGGCCTGAGTGGCTGGGGTTGGGTCCCTCAGCCACAGGCCTCAACCCTGACCATCTGTTTTGTCCTGACCAGTGGAACGGGCTTCCCAAAATGGGACTCTGTTTGCAAAACTGCAGATGGAAACATTTTTAAAATCCATGACCTTGATGTGGTCTTCAGGTGACAATGCACTTCCATATATGCCAGTAACAACGACGGTGACAACGGTCAACGACCCCTTATGCAAACCTCCCGGGGCTAGATAGATTTTGAAATTCAGAATCTTTTGGGGTTTGGAAAGGTGACACAATGCCTAAAGCATTATGTAACACATAACGGGATCTGGGGCAGCCCCTTAATTACACACACTCACATTTCTGCAGCAAGAAGATTGACTATAAGTAGCCTCGTGTCACTGTACGTCCGGTTTTATTACCAGATACGTTCAGGTCAGACCAGATTTTGCTATCAAACGGACTTTTGATCTTCAGAGTTTTGTGCATTTTGTAATTGGGGATGAGAAATTGTGGATCTGGGAAGATAACAGCCATTTATGGCACACTTATCAGATGTCAGACTTGGAGCTAAGTGCTTTCTGTGCATTTGCTCATCTGACCCTTACAACCACCCCACGAGGAAGACACCGGGTGCCCAGTTTGCAGACGAGAAAACAGGCTCAGGCGGTCAAGGCATCCATTCAGCGTCACACTGTAAACCCAGGTCTGTCTGACCAAAGCTGCGACCGCCACCACCCTGAACCCTCGTAAAGCTGAGACCAAACTCACTTGACAAAGTAAAGAAACAGAAGGGGGAGACCAGAGGGGAGGGGACTTCCAGGCCCATGCCCTTGCCTGGCCCTGGAAATGGGCAACACTCACCTTGGCCCATCTGGAGTACCCACGCACTGGGCTCCGTGCTGACACGGGTTCAAATCTGGAGAACAGAAGTCCACCAGCTGCTCACAGGCCCTTCCTGGGGAAAGAACGAGGAAGAGGCAGGAGAGAAGCTGCCCCAATCTCTGCCAGGCAGCTGGCCCGGCAGAAACCTCCTGTAGACACTGAGGGAGGGCCCCAGCCCTCCTGCCCACAGGAATGGGGCTCAGGGCAGGCACACCTGCCCACCTCTCCCCACAGATGCCAAAACTCCACCACACTTACCCGCATACTGCAGGGGGCACTGGCAGGTGTAGTTGCCCACGCCATCCACACAGGTGCCCCCATTGGCACATGTGTGCTCCACACAGTCGTCCGTATTCACCTCACAGGTCGGTCCTTCAAAGCCAGTGGGACAGGAACACCTGAGGTTGGGGGGGGGGCAGGTGAGGAGAGACGGACAGGTGGGCAGGGCCAGGGCAGCAGCCTTCCTGAGGCACTGTGGAAGCCTGTGTCCACCTGTGACCATCATGATCCCAGAGCTTTGGTCCCCACTCCCGGCCAGGTCCGTGCTAGGCACTGGGGTTAGAGTAAACAAGACAGTCCTGCACTCTGGGGGCTCCCTCAGTCTAGCCGGGGAGACGACAAGGAGACCGGCAACCAGAGGAGAGGCCAGGATGGGGCCACACTGAGGCCGGGGAGAGGAGGACAAAGAGGCAGAGGACACCTAGCCCATATGTCAGGGATGAGGCGAGAACGGGGCTGGGGTATAAACAGGAATCAGCTCATGGAGGGTCCCGGAGACCAGTGATCTTCCAGCTGGGGGAGCACCTGCGGTTTGCCAAGAGATCTGTGGGTCAGAGATGTCTGAGAAATTGATTTCCAGATCTTCAAGTCCTGCACAAACACTTCCCTAAACAGACCTACCCAGAGCTTCAGAAAGGCACGTGCACTTCTCCCAACTGCAGTCCAAGGTGGGGACGTGCCTGGAGCCTAAAACCCTCAGGCACCAGATAAAGGGACAACTAAGAATTGACCGAGCATTAAAATAATTTCTGGGGGCACCTGGGTGGCTCAGTCGGGGTCCGACTCTTCAGCCGAGGTCATGATCTCACAGTTAGCGGGTTCATACAAAGACCCGTGTCAGGCTTTGTACTGACAGAATGGAGACTGCTTGGGATTCCCTCTCTCTCCTCTCTGCCCCTAACCCCCCTCAAAATAAATAAACTTTAAACAAAATTAAAAAATAAAAATAATTTTTGATGACAGATCACTCTGGGGTTTTTGGTATATAATCTTGGAAGGGTTTCAAATAATTGAATGGCATGCTACAATAAAATATCTAATCCCAATGATTTATTTCAACAACTCTTTCTCAGCATTTATAGCTATATACGTATATTTTTATAAAGGAATATATTGGATGCCGAGTCCTCATTCTGTCATATTCACCCTGGGACACATGAATCAGAAAATTACACACAAAAAGCTCCACCTGTTATCTGTAATAATTATCAATAAAATTTTGTAGCGGAGTTATGTTCTGATCAATTGTATATCATTGATTATTGTAATGACGACTCTGAAAAAGAAACCGTTCATCAGAAGTTTATGGTGACAAGAAATAAAAAAAAAAAAACTTTAAACTTCCATTCCCATGTTGGTGGCAAAGAAGTATGGCAGCGTGCTCAATAAACAGACTCTCTAGCATCACAACAGATCACATGCGAACAAAAATGGAGGCGGGGTTGGGGAGTAAAATGGAAATACTAGTTGGAGGAGAAAGAGAGGGAAGATGTTTAAGCAGTTAAAACAGGAGCTTGTGGGTATAATCTTTAAGTGTATCAAATTGCTGCGCTATTCAGATTCCACTGGCAAGTGATGAGAGTGAAGTAAAAAGTGAGGTCTTTCAATGTTAATATTTACAATATCCTGGAAATTAACCTCCCTTGCAATGCAAAGTTCAACTTACCACGAAAAATTCCAGCCGTCAGTGTCAGAGCGTGTGAGAGGGGATGGAATTAAGTTTCGTGGGGGCACGTGAGCAAAAAGGTTTGAAGCGCACTGTTTCGGGGCCTACTGTCATCTGTAGGGCTCCCACCCCCACCTAGCGGGAAGCGTCTGAGGGGGCTCCCCTAGCTCCCCACTCTCCACAGAACCCTGCCCCTGGAGTCTATCAATGAGGAGGGGGTTGGACAGAGCCTATTGTATGGACGCCGTTTCCAAGGTGACGACCTGGGAGAGGCTGTTTAGTGTTTTATTTTTCACATCTGGTGATTTAGGTCTGCAGAGACAGGTTTGGCCATTCCTGCTAAGCAGACTCATCATTTTCTGAAGAGGAAATTTGTTCGGCCGGCAGTTTATTTTCAGTAACTAAATACTGTGTGTTCCTCTGAAAAGCTCTGGGTCCAGGAGGGCTCTGGGAAGGTGGGGGGCTCGTGGAGGGGTCCTGGGGGAAAGCAGAGTGGGTGGGGGCTTGTGTGGTGAGCTCAGAGAAGAGTCAGGAGGCCCGGCCGCCCAGGTGTGACCTGTATGACCCAGGAGACCATAGCAGGTGGCCCCGTACTTGCTAGCAGGAGGCAGGACTATCGGGAGGAGACTAGGACTTCCCCCCACCTCGGGGGGTGGGGGGTGGGTTGCTTGATACCAAGGAGCTGGCTGGGGGCCTGCCGTCAGGCAGCCCCGGCACAGCAAGCAGGTGGTTGACTTCCAATTGGAGGCCTTGGGGTTAGTGGAGATTATAGGGGTTTAAAACACCCCTAAAATGCCCCTTAGCACTGCCACTGCACATGGCCTTGGCCATGGACTCCCAGTGCCATCAGAAGGCCCTCTGGCACCTGGCACGAACAGGGAGGGGCCTGGAGCAGGGGCGGGCAGTGTAGCTCCGAGCCCCTGCCCTACCTGCTGCTGTGAGCCTGGCAGGCCTGCATCTCTCTGGGCAGCAGGGACCTGTGATGGGTAGGCATGGAGGGGTCTCTAGCACACCCCCACCTGCTCCTCCAACACAGGGAGGCCCGGGCCATCCCACCCACCAGGTTCCAGCCTCTCCAGGCAACTCACGTGAACCCAGCATCCTCGCCCTGCCGCGGGTGGCAGGTCCCGCCGTTTCCACAGGGGCTGCTGGAACAGCTGTCCAGGGACACCTCGCAGTCACGGCCCTGGGCAGGTGGGAGAGGGGGACAGTGAGTGAGGAGGACCTCAGAGGGACCCAGGGATTGGTGTGAGCCGACAGAGACAGCCAGCCCGCTCAGCAGCAGGCCTCCCTGTCCCGAGAGTTACCTGTTCATTCATTCGTTCACTCATTCATTCATTCACGTGCTGGGTCATTGACTAAACATTCCCTCAAGCAGCTGCCCTGGGCACTGTGGGCAAAGTGGCGAACAAGACAGCACAGCCCCACCTGATCTTGAACGAACAGCCCTCCTCCTCCCCAGCCCCAGCTTCCACTCACCTTATAGCCGCTGGAGCAGACACACCTGTACGCCTCAAGGGCATCATCATGGCAAGTGCCCTGGTTCTGGCACGGGCTGGACATGCAGGGATCACACTTGGCCTGGACAGCCAGCGCGGGGGGACCTGAGGCAGGGGGTAGGTATCAGGGGAGGGCAGGGCCGGACAGCCTCAGAGACAGTGCTGGAAGCTCTCTCCCCAAGGAGATTTCAGCCCTCCCTTTATTTCCTCTGCGTCTGGGTCACGCCCCCTTTCTAAGCCCACCTTCCGGGCCTCCAGACCCTCGTTTGTAAAGTGTGGTTAATAACAGCACCTGCCTTGGGGGCCATATTGGCTAAATAAGCTAATCTGAAAAGTGCTTAACAGGCAGGCTTTGGACGCCCAAGGAGCCCCCACACGGCGTCAGGGCAAAGCCGTCCGCGTGAGGGCATCACAATCACTATCACTGAAGCCGGCTCTCGCTCCCCAGCGTGGTCACGGTGAGCAGAAGACTGAGGGCAGCCGCCTTGGCAGGGAGGGGACACAGCTCCGTGAGAGGCCATGCTTAGGAGCAAAGAGCCCATTTGTCTTTGAGATGTTTCTCTCTAAGGCTGAACAGGAAAGAACCCTCTCCTGTCACCACGGGCAAGACCTTCCCCAGCCCCTCCAGGACCCACTGGTCCTCTTCCCTGAACTTGGAGGTGGACGAGGAGCCAGCAGCCAGGCTGCTTGGGGCACCACCTGTGAGGGGCATTAGGCCCTCACAAGAATAAATAGAACTGGCTGGTTAACTCAGGTGTCCGCTTAGGACTCCTTCTAGAAAAGGAGAAATACTGGTTCTGCTGAAGAGGTATGAGCATTAAGAGAAACAAACACTTTTCAGTGATGACTGGAAGGAAGCATGAGCAGGTTTCCCGGGCACTGATGGGGTTCTGTGTTTTGATCCCTGGTATGTTCGTTCAGTCTGTGAAAATTCAGCAAGCCATTCACTTATGATCTGTGTATCTTGCTATTATGCATGTTATATTTCAATAAAATAAAAAAAAAAACTTACCAGTGTCAACCCCACCCCATTAAATAAATATTGAGCAAATGTTTTGCTCCCAACAGGCAAGCCACAGATCAGGTCCCTCTGAACTGTTACCCCTGTGACAACATCCTTCATGGAAGGTGGCCATTAACCTATGGCTGTCAGTTTCATTTTTTAAAAAAAATTTTTAAACATTTATTCATTTTTTAAGAGATGGAGAGAGACCAAGCGCAAGAGACAGGGGGAGACACAGATCCGAAGTAGGCTCCAGGTTCTGAGATGTCAGCACAGAGCCCGAGGGGCTTGAACTCACGAACCGTGAGACCATGACCTGAGCTCAGTCGGATGTTTAACCGACTGAGCCACCCAGGCGCCCCATGTCAGTTTCATTTTTGATGGAGGTCTGTGAGCTTGCAGAGGGCAGGGGCTGCACCCCCCAGGCGGCCCCCAGCACACAAAGCTGGGCTTGGGGCAGGCCTCAGCCGCCTCCTTTGGCTCAGCTGGGCTCCCGGGCTGTCAGTCAATCAGTCAATCAACCTCCGAATGAGTATTTACAGATGCCCTAAGTGAGGCAGCTTCAGAGCAAAGCGTGAGCGAGTCTCCAATCACACTCAAGTCCCTGTATTTCTGCAAATGTCAGGCGAGCGGCAGCTGGGTCCAGCGGCTCGGGGTTTAAGCTAATTGCCGCGCACAATTCCTACCATAGAGAGGCCCGAGCACTCCCGCTGCTGAGAGGCTTGGAGCTTCCAGAAACGCTGCTGCTATTTTTATTTTCCTTACATAACCCCAGGGAGGGATTAAGGCCCTTACAGCCTGAGATTTTCTGCCTGGCTTTTTTTTGTTCGTTGTACGTCAGGACTAGAAGGCAGCCATACTAACAAGCAGCAGGTGCCTCGTTCCTGCCACCTGACCACCCCCCATCCAGCGGGTCACCACAGGGACACAGGAGCTCCTGGAATGCCCTTCCAGGATTAGGCAGGTCTCATGGGCTCCCAGCAGCAGGTGGGCGGGATGCAACCCTGTACCCGCCACCCCATTCTCGTGCTCCTGGCCTCACCTTGGCATTCAAACTTCTTGGCAGGCGTGGTGAGGAGCAGCTTGCCCTCCATGTCCGGGGGCCCAGCACAGCGGGCAATGCCCGGTTCCTTATAGCCCGTCTTCACCCAGCCAGACAGCCAGCGGAGGTGGCAGTCACAGTACAGAGGGTTGGCACCAATGGCCCTGAGTCAGAGAGCAGAGAGAAGCAGGCATCTATAATGGGCTCCTTCACCCACCGGGCGCACTCAGCCAGGGGCTGGCAAAAATCCCAACAGCCCCCTTACATGAGCCTTTCCTGTGTAGCCAGTGCTGCTCTAAGCACTTCCTACGTGTTGGCTTCCGAGTCCTCCCACACCCCACTCTCCCCACTGCGCACATTGCACCAGTCTCAGAAAGGCTGAGGCACAAAGCGGGGAGGTGAGACTTGAACTGGCGCCGTTGGGGCCAGAGGCCATCAGTGTCTCGTCTCCAGAGAGCACGGAGGGGAAGGAGTCACCAGTTACCGCTGGGATGAACCAGCTGCTTTCCCACAGCCAAGCATCCGACATCCTCACGAGCCCCACGGGGTAAGCTCTCTCCTCCACCTCAAACAGGGGGAACTGAGCCTCACGGGGGATAAGTCATTTCCCTGGGGTCACACAACGAATGAAGGGCAGGCTCTGGATCCAGGGTCTGGATCTGACTCTGAAGCCCATAGTGTTATTCTTCTTTTCATTTTTAACTAAGCAAGGAGCACACGAACGCATTCTCAGTCTAAACTACTTTGACAAACTGCGCACAGAAGTCTCCACCTCACATGACGTGGTAAACATACTAAATGCCATGAATTTTACACACCAAAATGGTTCATTTGATCTTATGTGAATATCACCTTCATTTTTTTCAGAAAGGCATGTTCCTGTTACTGACGGGAGAGCAAAATGGTGTAACTCTGACAGAGGGAACCTCGTGATATCTATCAAATCACCCATGCAGTTGCCTTTGAACCTAGCAATTCTGTTCCTGGAAGTTTATCTCACAGATACACCTCTACAGGTGCATAAAGGTGTCTGTGCGGTGGGACTGATCACAGCCTTGTTTGTAACAGCCTGAAATGAACTACACTATACCCACATCACAAAGAAAAGCTGCACCCGGTGCCTCTACCACGTCAGAAGGACCCATGGCCATACGGCCACATGGTCACCGCGCTCAGGCGTGTGGCTTCCCGCTCCTCTCCCATAGCGACGTAGAAGATTCTTCACAAATTATATCCACCTACTGCACATCGTCCCCAGGCAGCTTTTTGTCACCAAGTGACATGTCTTAGAGATCCTTCCAGATCAGCATAAATGGATCCACCTCATTTTGTCCAAGGGCTTCCTGGCATCCCAAAGTAATGGACATCTAGCTTACTGAGCAATGTCCCTGTTGCCAGGCATCCTGGTTGTTTCCAAAGGCAGCGAATACTCTTGTCCATGCTTCTTTGGGAGGTGTGAGCATTGCTCTAGAACAGGTGCCCAGAAGCAGGCTTCTACTTCTAGATCGCGGAGGATATGCATGCTGGGTGTTCACAGGCCCTCCAAAACGAGGTGGCATCGGTTCACACCCGCCTGCGGCATAAGGCCATGCCCGCTCCCTCCCATCCCCGCCCGACACCGACACCACACAGCCAACTCTGTAGGGTTTACCAACCAGCGGACAACTGCAGCATCTCACTGACTCACAGCGGGAGATTTAGAGATGGGTCAGAGACAGGGCAGGGGAGGGTAGGGGGTAGAGTTCCTCGGCCTAGCAAATAGAAAAATCAGAGCCTGGGCCGGAGGTTCGTTTATATCAACGTTATTTTGAAAATATAAGGCCGCGTGACGTTAGCGAGACTGGGCTCATTTATTAAGCACCAAATAGATGCGCTGCCCTCTTCCACCTGTTTCTGGGCAGCAGAGAGGACGTGGACCCCCCCGAAGTGCGTTCGGTCTGATGAAAGCAGCAGCAACCCTGAGCAGGAGTTCCCCAAAATAGCACCGCTGACGACCTCGCAGTCTTACAAAGCGGCTGAGCGAGACCTGGACTGGGGCCGGCGCAGCTGCTCGCTGCCCTGCCCGGTGACCTTGAGCAGCCCGCCTCACATCTCCGGGGCTCACTTGACGACGCGCTAAAGAGCCTGCAGCCTGGAGGAGGGCAGAAAGACAAGCACCAATAACCTAAAATGGGCACCAAGGGAATAACGCAGCGTGGAAAAGAAGGCCAGTTCAACCTCAACGTGTGTTTAATTTTTTCTGTCCTGATTTGCTGACAACATCCAGCCCGGCTCACAGGACAGCGGAGACGCCTTCCCTTTGCCACTGAACGGGGCCGGGGCCGCTCAGAGGTACAGGAAGCTGGGGTGCCTTGATTTTCTGACGCTGCAGTGTGTTAACGGCAACAACAACAAAGTCTTTTTTAAAAAGCACAGGAATACCAAAAAGTGTGCTCTAAAATGGTTACATGAACCAGAGTAATGGTTTTCACGTAAAAAGTGCAAGGTAATGCGATTATGTTATTCAAGAGGCAAATGTAGAATTTATTGTAAAATATGTTTTGTAATGCACCGCAGGGTCGTGGTCTGGTAATGGGCCACGAATTTAAAGTGTATTACGAGTGACTTTTTTCAAGTCCTGTAGCTCATTTCGCGGCCGAGGTCACCGTGACCGTGGATGCCTTGACAGGCCAGGATTGCCACAGTTCCAGTCCCCAGAGAGCAGCCCCTCAATAAATGGCAGGAAAAGTGCGCCTCAAATCCAAGTGTCCCTTTCCGATTCTTCACATAAAAGCAGAAATAAAGAATAACAGAAAGCACCAAAGTCAATATAAAGCTCTTCAAAAGTAAATTCCAGTGGGGCCAATGTATTTTCCTTGTTTCTATGGAGAACAGACTCGGAGCCACACCCGAATTCAACCTTTCACACTTTGGTTCACCCAGAGGCTGGGGTTTTGAGACCACTTCAGTGGTTTCACCTGGGGGCCACTTTTCCCACCGGGAGTGACTGCGAGCTCGGTGTGGAGTGGCAAGTCACAGGCCCGGCTGAGTGAGGGCCGCGGTGGGGACCGCAGCCAGGCCGCTCGTTGATCCAAAAGGACTGTGGGTTCAGGCTGACACCCGGGCAAAAGTAGCAATAATCCTGTGGTGTTGATCTTTGGTGTATCTTGGAAATAGCTGAAACAGAAGATACTTGGTGTCTTCCTGCCAAGGCCCCGCTGGGCTTCCATTAACGGAACGGGGACCAAAATAGCTTTTCCTGTGCTGTTTCACAGAGCGGCCAACAGTAGAGTTTAGCACATACTGAAACTTCCACGTCTCCCTCACCTGAGCTATACCCCCTCCGCCCACCCTCCTCTCGGGCAATCTATTTGTGTGCATCACTGTCTCCCGCTGCACTGAGGCTCCCCGGGAGCAGAAACCATGACCCCCGCTGTGCCTGACACCCGTTTGCGAATGAACACCTGCCAGGACCATGCAGAATGCACAAAGCCCACTGTGAAAGCAAAGGAAATGCAAAAAGAAAAGAGTTCCCCCATCATCCCAGAAATGTAACCAGTTTAATTTTTGTGGATTTCCTTCCAGTTCTTGTGTTCACACGTGTACCTCAGTGAAATCAAGAGTATACAGTCTTCTTTATCCTGTGTTGTCATCAAATAGTAAATTGTGATGCCGTAATTACAATTAACTACTTGCTATTCTGTCCTGTGGGCATAGTATGATCTACTTAATCATTCCATATTTACTTTTTAAAGTTATTTATTTTATGTTGAGAGAAAGAGGGCACACTTAGGTACTCAAACAGGGGAGGGGCTGAGAGAGAGAGAGAGAGAGAGAGAGAGAGAGAGACAGAAAGAATCCCAAGCAGGTTCTGAGCTGTCAGTGCAGAGCCTGACAGGGGGCTCAATCACATGAACTGTGAGATCATGATCAGAGCTGAAATCAAGAGTTGGACACTTAACTGTCTGAGCCACCCGGGTGCCCCACCATATTTACTTTTTCACACAGCATTCTTAGTGAATTCGGGATCTAGCTTCCCAGCATGCAGTAAATCAGAGGCAACAAAATGCCAGATTATAGAAATGATGAAAGATGTTGGAGAACCTTGGCACGGGATCTGGCACACAGTGAATATTTGTTGATGAAGAGACGGATGGATGGATGGATGGATGGATGGATGGATGGACGGACAAATGGATGAAAATTGAACTAACTGCAAAGTAAATATAAAAGTAAACCACAGCAGAGCGAACCCAGGGCAGTGTGGACGCTTACAATCACTATGGCATATGGACCACAGTGGACCTTAGAAATAACCTTGGTACAGGCAAGAAAGAGGCCCAAGGAGAAGAATGAATTGTCTGGGATCCCACTGCAAGTCGATGGCAGAACAAAGAACCTAACGCCACGCGTCCTGATTCCTGAAGTTCAAGGAGACTGAATGTGGTGGACCTCAGCCTCCACTGCACCTGCTCACCCCGCCTCCCACATACTGCTAGTGAAGAGGAGAGGCCCGGGCAAGAGTCACAGGAGGAACAGAGGGCACTCCAGGAGCCAGGGACTCTGGATGCTAACTCTTTTTTTTTTTTTTTTTTTCAACGTTTATTTATTTTTTGGGGACAGAGAGAGACAGAGCATGAACGGGGAAGGGGCAGAGAGAGAGGGAGACACAGAACCGGAAACAGGCTCCAGGCTCTGAGCCATCTGGATGCTAACTCTTGGGCAACCCCTGACTTGTTACAGAGCCGTGGGTGCCTCCCCCTGCTTCAGATTGCACACGGCCCTTGTGAAGCCAAGCAGAATGCGGTGAGCCTACGCCGTCCTGGTACCACTCCCTGACTCCTTGCAAGTGCTCGAGAAATCCTTATGGAACAGCTATGGCTCTCCCGTGTGGGGCAGATGGTGGACACGTGTGTGCACATGTACACGTGTCCTCAGTACCGCGCGTGCACCCACACCTGAACACAAGCACACGCACGAGTCCCAGGCTGCTGCCTAGTTCCATTTGAGACCCTGGGTATGAAGGGCAGACCTTATTCGTGACGCTGCTTCACTGGAAGCTTTCTTTCACGCAGATGCTGCCCTGTAGAGAGAGGGGCTTGGATGCAGTGAACAAACACATCTAATCCGCAATGCCGACGCCCTGTTCTACAATTGCTGCTTAACGGATCTCTACCTCCTGCTTTATTTCTTCCAGATTGGATCTGGCTTTTTGGCTTGATGTCACTGTTCTCCTAAAGAAAGTCTGAATTTATAGATGCGTCTGGTTCAACAGTTGTTTGGCAGCTCTGGTTTTTTGTTTGTAGAAAACATGCTGTTTGTTCCCACCTCCCCCTTGAAAAACGAGGCCTCTAGATTTTGAGCTAGAGTCAAAATCGGAATGGACTTGGATATTGTTCAGTTTTCATCAGGAAGAAGGACGGGTAGTCAACTGCACACTTAAGTCCCAAGTACAGGAGATACGTGAAGGGGGAATCCAAAGGCAAGAAAGGTGGACCAGATGCTTGAAGAGGCCTTGCCTGGCAAGTGGTGTTGGGGGCGTGGGCAGCTAAAGCAGGCCCTTGTCATAGTGGGGGGGTGAGGAAAGGCGGTGCGTGGGCCCAGAGCAGGGCAGACCCTGGTGCCTGTGAAGACAAGCACAAATGCCCTCTGGAGAGAAGTGTCTCTAATTTAGGTCCTCAGAGTTCCAAACATCCGCAAAACTGAGCTCACCACCACTAACTACCAAATGCAGATGGAAACACGGCCCTGTTGACCAGGAGTCACCGAGAGCAGTGATCCACACAGCCCTGGCCTGGCCTTTGTCTTGACCCACCATCTCCAGCCAGGCTCCCTCCTGCCTCATCCCATGCAGCCAGCCTCCACATGTCACCACAGCTTTCCAGGAGTTTTCTGCGACTTAATTCTTCCACAATTCCCTTCTATCTGTAAAATAACTCTTTAGCGTGACACAAAAGGCCCTTCACAATGGAATTCAATGTTCCTTTCCAGATTCGTCTCTTCCGACCCCACACTCCTTGCCCAACCAAACCCTGTATGTCCTATGCTGGACAACACAGCATCCCTGAATATGTCATTTACTTTCTTGCCTTCTCGCCTCTGCCCATGCTGTTCCCTCCTCCTAGAAAGTCTTTCCCCATCTTCTCCAAATGGCAAAAGTGTGCAGTTCAGTAGCATCAATGAACACTCACAATGTTGTGCAACCATCACCACGATCTGGCTCTAAAACTCTACATCACCCCAAACAGAAACTCTGTACCCACTGAACAAAAATCCCCCATTTCCCCCCTGCTCCCAGCACCTGTCAGCCACCATTCTCCTTTCTGTAGCTTTGATTTGACTTTCCTAGGCCTCGTATTGGTGGAATCATACGATGTTTGTCCTGTAACGTCTGGGTTATTTCACTTGGCATGTTTGCAAGGTTCATCCATGTTTGTCGCAGGTGACAGAGTTTCATTTCTTTTTAAGGCTGAATAAGATACCATTGTATGGGGGCGCCCGGGTGGCTCAGTTTGTTAAGTGTCTGACTCCAGCTCAGGTCATGATCTCACGGTTCATGAATTTGAGCCCCGCATCAGGCTCCCTGCTGTCAGCACAGAGCCTGCTTCCGATCCTCTGTCCCCCTCTCTTCCTGCCCTTATCCTGCTCGTTCTCTCTCTTCCAAAATAAACTTTAAAATTAAAAAAAAAAAGATCCCATTGTATGTCTATATCACATTATCCACTCATCCATCAATGGACACTTGAGTGCTTTCTGATTTTTGCCTATTGCGTGAATAATGCCGCTATGAACATGGGTCGTACAAGTATCTGTTTTCAGATTTATTTGTGTGTTTGTTTAGAGCATTAATGAGGGAGGGGGTAGCAGGAGAGGGAGAGAGACATGGGCTCAGTCTCATGACTGTGACATCATGACCTGAGCCGAAATCAAGAGTCAGACACTTAACCGACTGAGCCACCCAGGAGCCCCACGTATCTGTTTTGAGAATCTGCTTTCAACTATTTGGGGTACACACTTAGAAGTAGAATTGCCAGGTCACAGGGTAATTCCACATTTACCCTTGCGAGGAACTGGGCATACTGCTTTTTAAACATCCACATAGTACTGCCAGCTACATGGTTTTGGAAGCAATTCTACATCTCATTATACCACTTCTTGGGGGCAGTAAATTTCCAGAGCTTATCCCCCACCCCGTGAAGGGAGAGGCCCAAGTGTGGTGTCTTGCTTAAGAGCATGGGCTTTCGAGACAGAAGACCCCAGCCCCCACCACCTATGCAACGTTGGGCAAGCTTCTCACACTTTCTGGGCCTGTTTCCCCGTGTGTAGGATAGGAATAATTGTGCCTATGCCGTAGGATCGCTGTGAGGACTAAATTAGCTGAGGCGGTCAATAAATGGCCATCGCCACTTTTATTACTGCGTATGAAGAACCGTTCTCAGATTCCATTGCTGTGTTGATGAAACACCGAGTGTGTAAGAGTCTGAGATGGGGAGTATCTGAAGTTCACAAGCTAAACTTGTTTCAGGGCAAAAGCCACAAACTTTGACAGTTACAGAAGATGGTGGGGGGGCATGTTTCTTGGAATACAAGTTCTTTTTACATCCAAAGAGGCCTCGAGAATTGGGCCGGGGTTACTTACAGGTGAGACAGGGAGGTCACGTCTGTGAAGATGCCCTCTTGGAGGGTGGAGATGTCATTGCCATGCAGGGACCTGAGGAGAGAAGAGGCTGTCAGTGCCTCGTCCAGGGACAGAGACTTGAGAACTGACGGAGTGTGTCATGCTTATCCTTGGGTCTTGGTCAAGGTCAATGCTAGAGGGAGCCGGTGCCCCCCTCAGAGACCCCACCCTGCCGGCTACCGGCAAGGGAGAGGGAGCGCCTCGTAATCCAAGTAGATAACCCTGTGCCGCAGCCCTTCTGGGGGACTTCTTTTTGCCATCACAAATAACTCAAAGCACCATTTCCGTTTACATGACAAATGGAACGCAAGGCCCTGACCCTGTGCCCTCCCTCACTCCGCCAGCAAGTCTGGGTGGGGGGGAGGTAGGGGGGGAAGGTCCTTCCTGGTAAAAAAAAAAAAAAGTTACTATGGCAAGCCGTAGATTGGGGATAAAGAATGTCACCCTGCCCCAGGCAGGGCTGCCGGAGGATTCATGCAGATACTTGAGAGGCCTTCATAACAGCCGCGACAGAGGACTTTGATCACAGGGCAAAAACTCCCAGTGGGAATTCTTAGGAAAGGTTCACAAATCTCTTGCCAACAATCTCCACTGGAACCGGAAACTCACATGCAAACAAGAGGCTACCTTATCTTGGATGCCCCCACCTCCCATTGCTCCCCCAAAACACAAAGTGGGGCAGACAGCAACCCCCATTTCTCAGAGTTTTCCGTTCACTCTTCAGCCTCCGTGAGGGGCTTCAATGGAAATGGACAGGCCTCCCAGCTTTGGACACTGTTGGCTCTGCTGGGGCCACAGACATGGAGACATTTCTACCCACCAGGTGGGCTGCAGGTCCTCTGTGGGGTGGGTCTCTTTAGAGGAATGAAGAATGAAGAGACTTACAGCAGGCGCAGGGAGCGCAGCCCCTGGAAGGCCAGCGGAGGGATGCACTGGAGGGCGTTGTAGCTGAGAATCCTGTGGGATGAGGGGGAGGGTGAGGGAGGGAGCAGGACAGGGGTGGGGGGCGCCATGTTGCTGACCAGGCCCCTGCAGGCTGGCTCAGCAGCAAAATGAGGGAGGCCTGAGCGTGGAAGAGGGTGTGGGCTGAGCTCCTGGCCTAGTCAGCCCTGTGACCCGGGCCTGTCCCCTAACCCTTTTATGCCTCTCAGCTCCCTCAGCGGCAGAGCAGGGACAAAAACAATGACAACTTGATAGGGTTTTTCTGCGGGTAAGGGGAGATGGCCCAGGTGAAGCCCTCAGCGCGGTGCCCGGCTCCCAGGGAGGCCTCAGTAAGGAGACTGGGTGCACTTCCTCGTGGAGGCCACTCCAGCAAGGGCCAGAGGCAGGGTCCCCGTGAAGTGGACACCGGACCAGGACCTGCCTCACTTCCAGAGCGGACCGGTGAGGTCCAGGCCCAGCTAGTAATCTAACATTGGGAAGCTGTGGTGGTGACGAGGGCACCATGACTACCCCCGTCGTAAAGATGGGGAAACTGAGGCCCTGCAAGGTGAAAGAACTTCGCCAGGGTGGCGTAATTAAGTCAGTAAGCGGGGTTTTTAATTCAGCTTCTCAGTTTCCAGAGTCCACAGGCTAACCCACTCTCCCCAAATGCTTCCAAATAAATGAATCCACCAAGGGCAGATGGGCAGGTTGACAACAAGGGAGGCGATACTCATGATAGCTCCAGATGTCCGTCAGCGGAGGGACAGGGACACTCTGGTGCAGCCATACAGTGGGACATCACTAGTCGCTGACAAGAAGGAAGGAACTACCCATACGTGCGGTGACATGGGGGAATTTCGGAGTAACTGTGTGGGTTGAAAGATGCCAAACAAAAAGGAGTATCGTTGCACGATCCCAAACATGCAAAACCCTAGGCGATGCGGACTCACCCACAGAGCCGAATGGTGGCGGCCCTGGGACGGGGGTGTTGGGAGGGGCCGGGCAGAAGGGGTGTGAGGAGGCTTCTGGGGGTGACGGAAGGGGTCTCTGTGTTCATCGTGGTGATGGTTCCAAGGACGTGAACGTAAGTCAGGATGTATCCTTATTTGCCGCAAGCATGTACAGTTTCTTTTATGCTGACTGTACCTCACTAGGGCTATTTTCAAAAAAATTTTTTTTTCAACATTTATTTATTTTTGGGACAGAGAGAGACAGAGCATGAATGGGGGAGGGGCAGAGAGAGAGGGAGACACAGAATCGGAAACAGGCTCCAGGCTCTGAGCCATCAGCCCAGAGCCTGACGCGGGGCTCGAACTCACGGACCGCGAGATCGTGACCTGGCTGAAGTCGGACGCTTAACCGACTGCGCCACCCAGGCGCCCCACTAGGGCTATTTTCAAATAATAATGAGAGCAGGGGTGTGCTCCTGTCACAGGAATGGGTTCTGTTTCCCCCGGCAGCTGCCGGAACCACTGAGACCGGGACTTCTCAGCCCAGCACTACCAACAATTCTTTGTTGGGGGGCTGCCCTGGGCATTTTACAGTGTGTAGGGGTAAAATCCTGGCCTCTGCCCACAAGGTGCTGGGGGCTTCGCCTGCCCCTGCTCTAGCTTTGACCACCGAAAATGCTTCAGACATTGCCAAACGGCCCCTGGTGGGCAGGACCTCCCTGGCTGATGGCAGCTTCACATCCAGGCTCACAAAGACTTCGAAATGGGAACCAGTTGATGAGAAGACTCTGGAGCAAGTAAGTGCAGGTGGGTAACCTAGAACCAGAATTTCATGGCCTCGGGCCCACCTTCTGCTCCTGGGGGTCTGGCTGGGTCACGACCCCATCCTTTTTTGGGGGTACTGGCTCTAATGTTGGACCACGGTGGAGCCCAAGGGAAAGTTCTTAGGTTCTTGGCACATTATCTGTAAAATGAGGTGTGGAGAAGGGGAGTGAGATACCCCCGTAAGCTGCAGGCCAGTATACGGGCTGCTTGTTATTCTTTCCAACTGATTGCTTGGCATGTAATTAAAGCGATCGTTAAAACAACTCAGAATATGGGCACAAAAGTGTTCGGAAGCACCGCTCACAATAGTCCGAACTGGAAACAACCCCACTATCCATCCATAGTGAGATGGGTAAGGAAGGTATGACATATTCTTACAAAGGAATACTACACAGCAGTAAAAATGACCAGACTGCGGCTTCACATGAGTGGACCTCGCAAACATAATGCTACATAAAATAAGCCAGGTACAAAAAAAAAAAAAAAAACAAAACCATCCTGTATGATTCAATTTACATAAAAATAAAACCGATTTGTGTAGAAGTGCATATGTAGATGGCAGTGCTATAAAGAAAATCAAAGACATGATCACCATAAAAGTCAGGGGAGGGACTTCCTGGAGACGGTGGGGAGGGGGGAACAAATGATCAAGAAGGGGCTGGGGGAAGGACTTTTGGGCGTGCTGTGTTCCGTTTTGTGCCTTAGGTATTTACACATGTGCTAGCTTTATGGTTATTTGTTAAATTGTACTTTATATTTTTTTGCATTTTTCTGTATGTATGCTATATTTCACAATAAAAAAATTTGGGTTTTTTTTTTTTTTTCTTTTTGGTTGGCGAGGCCAGGCACACTCCCTGGTAGATGAAGAGTGACCAGTGGGGCTTGGAGAAAGTCTCGGTGACACAGCGCGCGTGCCCTCTCTCCACCTCCCCACCACTGGGACTCACAGAGTGGTCAGCTGGCTCATGTTGGTGAAGGAGGAATTGCTCAAGGAACTGATCTTGTTGTTACTCAAGTCCCTGGAAAAGACGAAAGCATCACTGCTTAGAAGAAAGAAGAACCCAATCCCGGCTCTCTGCTACAGGCTCCTCCCCTCTCCCACTCTGTCCATGCCCCCCCCCCCCCCCCCCCCCCCGCCCGCCTCCCACCCCAGCCAGGTGGCTGCAGGGGCTTGGGGTGGTGGTAGAGAGGGGCACTTGGTTCACAAATAGTTACAGCCCTTTGCTCTGCTCCCTGAACTCCCGCTGCGTCCTCAGGGCTACATGTTTCCATTGCCTTTCCCCACCCCACCCCTGTCCCCCACAAGGACAGACTGGCTCATGCCCCCTTCCACCGTGGAAATGCTCCCACCAAGGAACTACCAGATCTAGTGGGCTCTGTGCTTTCTCTCTAGCTAGTACTTCACACAGGCTCCTTCCGTGGCTCTCCTACCGTCCTACCAAGGGGACAATAACCACCTTTTTTCAAATGAAGCAGGGTGATCAAGTAACCCCCCCCCCCCCGTCACAACTGATACCCCTCTTCTCAAACCTCCTTTCAAACCCCATCCATCCTCAGACACCTGTCTTCCCACACCACCACCCCCCCACCTCCCTGGCCGTGCCTCCTCCATCTCTTGGTAAAGCTTCTTTCCCAGACAACCCTACCTTCTTGACCCTCTTCCTTTAGTCCACTCTGGGAGCCTCGGGAAGCTCCTGGCTTCACTCCCCACCACGTGCAACAGTGCCCTCGCCTCTGAACTCCCCTCCAGAGACAGTCCAGCTCCAGTCCACATCTTGCACTTTTCCTACCCCCTACCCACCTAGTCCACAGCCCCAAGGACCCAGAAACACTGCCCTAACTGACCCCCCCCCCCCCCCCCCAGCTCCTCTCTCTCAGCCTCCTCCTTCATTTCTGCTTACTCAAGCCATCTCTTTTCCTGGCTTCTGTCTCAGACTTGTATCTCATCTCTCCCCTAAATTTGCCCCATTTCTATCCATCTTCCACACGGGCGGGCACCACCTCAATCTTTCTAAGACACAAATCTGACTAGGTCACTTCTCTGCCAAATCCCACAGTGGCTCTCATTTGCCTAAAAAATTATCCCAGCCACCTGCTAGGTGCTCCGGGCTCTGGCCCACCTCTCCCTCACTGCCTCCCACGTGCCTGGCATAGATTTGCTACACTTCCTGAAATTCTCTTGCCCCTGTTCCCTCTGCCTACTGGTGAGTTCTGCCTCTGCCCCGGCCCCCACACATGCCCTGACTTCATTTCCTCTTAGTAAATGTTCCTCTAACTCATTTCATTTAAGACCGGTCTATTGTTCTCAGGCCACACTGTAGTTCCTCTCTGAGCTCTCGGCACACCGCGTGGTCCCTGCTTCTGATTGGCAAGGACTGGCCCCGCATCGGCCCTCTCTCCCTCCTTTCCTGCCAAAGGTATCCAAGCCACCAGTGTAGCTGCCTCCAATTAGACCAGAGAAAAGCCGTCTATGTCTTTGCTACTCTGTCACCAGCCACCAAATCACCGCCCTCCTCCCACCCCTCACCCCATTGGAACAGTCAAAACACATCTGCTAGGTCTTTAGCAAAGACAGATCCACCGGAGCTTCAAGATTCTGTGCTACTCAAAGTAGCCAGTCCCTGAACTGAATATCCCACAACAAGGACCTTGTGCCAAAGTGCAGTCACCTATGACGCTAAACACACAACTTAGTTTAGCGAACGCTTTTTTCATAGTGACACTTCTCAGTGATGGAAGAAAGACACTGATTTACATTCTGGTGCAAGTTTCTTATCTAATTGTGGACCCATTACAAACAGTTCCCTAGTGACCATTGGTCTATAGACCACACTTTGAGTAGTAGTACTGCTCCAAGCCAAACTAACAGGGAATGTTCTCTGGACTTCTTTCTGGGAGAATCTAGCCAATAAGCACACCAAGACAATTGGAGAGAGGTGTTAATTAGGTTGGAGAGCTGAGAAGAAATGAAGTTTATTCTGAGGCTTAGTTCATATATTTTCATGGAGTGGAAAGGCTCAAAGGTGTAAATAACAGAAAAAGAGATGTTAGCCTGAAGAAAAACTTAGTCACTGATGTGTATTTGTAGCTGTCGTATTTCATGTTTGGTTTAGGGGCCAAGGATGGACTGCGTTTTCCATCAGCCTCTACTTCTGCTCTGGCCCCCTTCCTTTGCCAGGATGACCCTCATTAACAATAATTCTCAGCCCAGATGGAGGCTTGGGGTGACAAGCTAGGGAGAAGTGGACAGGGTCCAACTCAAGGGAGCCAGGAACCATGCCATTCCCAAGCATGGCCACTAGGTGGCAACACAGTTCTATGCACTGACATTCAGGGAGGGAAGGGGCAAAATAAAAACCAGATGAGCTGGAAGCCGAGTGGTAGGGAATTCCAGAAAAGCTGGAGCCAGAGGGTTAGATACCAATGCGCCCCCACCCCCACCCCCGCCCCCGCCATCCTCTAAGGCAGGCTTGGGATCCTCCAGAGGTCCGAATACTCACACAAGCTGCAGATACTTGAAGGTAGACAGCTGTCCCGGAACCAGCGTGAACTGGTTCCCATCCAAGTAACTACAGGACAGAACACAACAGTTAGTGCGGTGCTAGGGGAGCCTCCCCTGCAGCCAGGGCCTTCTAGTTCCTCTCCTCTCCTACATGCAGACCACACAGTTGGCCCAGAATCACTAACTGGAGGAGAAAAGATGCAGTTTCTTAGGCATGTGGGTAGATGCCACCCAAAGAACTCGGTAAAAGCTCTGACACACAAAGCCTCCCTTGGCTTCCTTTCTGCCGCTGCCTCGCCCTCTCAGCCTCCTCCCTGCTGGCGGGCGCTACCCAGGGCTCAATGCTGGGCTCCTCTCTCTCCCCTCTCTGCCCTGCAGTTTTCTTGGCCAGACGGGTCAGATCTGCCACTAGTCCCCTCAGGTCCACCTGCCAGGCCCCTCACCAGCTAGCAAGGCCCTCCCTCCACTTGCTGGCTGGTCCCGTGGGAGCCCCAGACCCAAACCTGCCCAAACCTGACCTCAGGGCTTTCACACCCAAACTGGTTCCCCTGGCCCCCTCAGCATCACACCATGATGCTAACCACCCAGGCTCAGGACCCTCAAGGTGACTCTCCTACTCACTCAACAGCACCCCACAGCTGCTGACTCTCCTGCCACTGGTCTCTGCTCATGTGCCGTGTTCCGCTCTCACATCTCCCCTGAATGCACACTGTCACCCACGCCTGGACTCCTCAGCTGCCTCCATCTGTTCCTCCACCTTGGCCTCCCTTCTGGGACCCACTATACACACTGCTGCCCACGTTGTTGTCCTCAAAGCCAAGCCCACCAAAGGTCCTTGTAACATTCCCTAAGGTGCCCCATGTCTACAAGGTGGAGCTTGGGATTCAAGATGCTGTGAAGGTCCCCTATCCCCCCAGACATCCTCGCTGAGCAGGGATCCAAGGGCCAGGAGCTGAAACCCCCGTTGGGCTCCCTGTCCAGGACCCCCACCGACTGCAGCCCTCAGGATGGCTCACCGCCACCCCCAAAGATCCAGAGAGCAGCAAAATCAGGGCTTTACTCATCCTGACCCATCACTCTGGGTCATACAAAGTGACTTCCCACCCATCTCGCGTGATCCTCTCAATGGCTCTTCTCAACACACCCTAGTGGCCCCACTTAAGAGCTGGGAAGACGGAGGCCTAGAGAAGTCAAGTGATTTTCCCAGCCTCTGAACTTCAGCATCCTTAGTCAAAGAAGCCAGGCTGTTCCACCTGTCACATTATGCTCAGGGTGGCTAGGAGGCACCAAGGAGGAAGCAGGACACTAACACGATGATAGAAAACTGGGCGAGGGACACAGGACAAGGACTGCAGTGGTTGGTGTGCCTGTAAAGAAACAGCCTGCCATGGGGCGCCTGGGTGGCACAGTCGGTTGGGCGTCCGACTTCAGCCAGGTCACGATCTCGCGGTCCGTGAGTTCGAGCCCCGCGTCGGGCTCTGGGCTGATGGCTCAGAGCCTGGAGCCTGTTTCCGATTCTGTGTCTCCCTCTCTCTCTGCCCCTCGCCCGTTCATGCTCTGTCTCTCTCTGTCCCCAAAATAAATAAACGTTGAAAAAAAAAAAAAAAAGAAACAGCCTGCCTCGCCAGTAATGAAAGAAACACAAATGAAAAGCTCACACACTCCCCACAGGGAAGGAAAAGCGCAACTACGGAGGCCTGGAGGGACCAATCCCAGGGGACAGGACGAGTCGGGGACGGACCACAGCCTCTTATTTGGGGGTGTCAGTGGAAGAAGCCCAGCTCTCCTCTGTCTGTCACTCACACTGACATCCATGCCCCCACGTAGGCTCAGATACCACATCCAAATCAGCACAGGTTTTAGCGCATGATGCCCAGTATGGACAGCGGGGGTGGCCACAAAGGCCATTTCCACACCCGGCCAGCTGGGGCGCGAGGACGATGGCTTTTCTGGAAGGCCATGATGCAAAAGGCAGCAAGTGCCCTAGCAATGCAGCGCTCTTTGACGAGCAGCCTCACTGAAGGGATGTTCACCTCGGGGACTTTTTTTAATAGTGAAACATTGGCAACAAGTCTCCAACAAAGGGGGATTTGTTACATAGATCATAGTAGATTCACGTGGTAGCGTCATGCGCGGCCAGCGAAAACAAACTTGTGTGAGAGTTTTCATGACGGAGGGGATGCTCACAAGCTGCGGTGAAGCAGCCAACGTAAGGTTACTTCTTATTTTAAAAGCAGGCCTCAGCTTAAAGCGAGCAAGCGCTCGCCGTGGGAGACTCATGCCATCAGGTGACTGCAGAGGGGAGTCCGACAGAAGCTCAAAGACTTCCTGGAACCAGTGTCTCCCGCGACGCCCTCACTCCAAGCCCTAACCAGCTGTTCTTGGTGACCTTGTCCCCCCCCACCGTCAGGCCTGGGGCTACTCACAGTTCCGTGACATTCTTGGGGATGCCTTTCGGCAGGACCTGGAGGTGCTTGTTGCTGCATCGGACCACCGTGTCCAGGCAGGCACATTCCTGGGGGCACTGGGGGCGGGGCAGGCAGCCCCCCTCCTCCTGGCCTGGGGAGGAAGGCGCGAAGCCACGTCAGTGAGGGGACAGGCCTTCTTAGGGCCTCTTATACCTGGGGCCGTGCTCTGGGGTATCTCAGAACAGAAGCCCCTCTCTGACACTACCCCAGGCACTGGTAAGTCCCCTCTTGGCTGCATGCCTTCCTCACTAGGAACGAAGCCCCTTGGACCATTTCGAGGTTAAGATGGGTCTTGGGTCAATTTCTTCTGCCTCAGGTCCAAGGTGGACCTCAGCACAGCAGGAGGATGGCAACCATACCATTTCTTGAGCACCTACTAAGTGCCAGACAATATGTCGAACAGGATCTCTTTAACGATGCAGAAAGGATGCCAGCACCACGGGGACAGAGACTGGTCTCTGCTTTTTTGCTCACAGAAGGAGCCCAGCACCTAGAGCAGGGGCTGGCACACAGGAGTCCTCAAAATAGATCAGCTAAACGAACCTATGAATGGTCTTATACTTTACTGAGAGCTGGAGAGGTTACATAACTTGTTCGGCTCAGAAGGCTGGTCAGAGCGCAGCGTCCGTACCCGCATCTGGCCGACACAGACTCTGAGCACCTTCTATCACACCTCCTTCATTTATTCACTTATCTACCCAGTAAATATTCCTCCCTTCTGACTGGGTGCAGGCGGAACAATAAGGACACCACGGTAGGAGCCGCTGAGGGCACTAGGAAGCAGGTGACAGAGACTATCAGTTACGGAGGGCAGCTGTGTGCAGGCGTCGTGAACTCCCTGAATCCTCGAAACATCTCTCCGGTGGATGTGCTATCAGCCCATCGCAGAGATGAGAAAACTAAGGGCAGAGTGGCTAAGTAAGGGGCCCAAGGTCCCCCAGCCTGGAAGAGGGGCACGGGCCTGGAATCTAAGCCAGCTGCTCTCCACCACTTCAGTCTACTGCAGCAACATCTCAAAAGTGCTCCTGTCCCTTCCCCTCCAGGGAGCCCCTCTGAGGGGGGCGGGGGGAGCCTCGCACGTGCACAGAGTCGCCTGCCAGGATGCACGGACATGACAGCAGAGCTCTGGAAGGTCACCCGGCGGAACACTGACCAGGAGTCATTCCAGGTCCGGGAAGTTGGAACAGGCCAACACTGGTGATCTTTTTACTCTTCTGGATTGTGTGTTGTTTTTTTAAGCAAATGGTAATGCTTCACTTTGTGATAAGAAAAGTAAAAAGAAATTGTTTCTTGAAAAGAAAATAATGTTTTCAAAAGATAATTAATGGCAGAAGGAAAGACCCAAAATATATAGTCGGGTTTAAAAAGAAACAGAATTTGGGGCGTCTGGGTCACTCGGTGGGTTAAGCGTCTGACTCTTGCTCTTGGCTCAGGTCATGATCTCAGCGTTCGTGAGACTGAGCCCTGTGTCAGGCTCTGTGCTAACAGTGTGGAGTCTGCTTGGGATTCTCTCTCTCTCCTTCTCTCTCTGACCCCTCCTTCCCACTCTCTCTCTCTCTCTCTCTCTCTCTCTCAAAATAAATAAATAAACTTTAAGAAAAAAGAAAAAGGAACAGAATTTTTGGGTGGGGGACGGATAAAATAGGTAATGGGCTTTCACTTGTCATGATAAGCCCGGGTGATGGATGGAATTGTTGAATCACTATATTGTACGCCTGAAGCTAAAATAATACTGTATGTTAACAATATTGGAATTGAAGATAAAATTAAATTTTAAAAAAACATTTTTTTTAAAAGACTAGGAAGTTATTACTATATAAAATGATATACAAATATATACGTGAGTCGTATGGAACTTTTTTAAAATAGCAAGTAAAATTGCTCTAGGAAACCCATTGACTTTGTTTAGAGAAATACCCTGACCTTCTCTCTTGGTGTGAAAGTTGAAGCTCCTTGCGCGGCCTGGATGGGCCAGTCTGAGAGCCGAACTGCCCCCTGGAAGCAGGCTGAGAGCGGGGTGGAGGAGGCCAAGTGGGGGCGGGGGGGGGGGGCTGGAACTCCCCACAGGAAACTCCCGGCGACCAGGCTCAAGATCAGGGACCGCCGGGCTGAGCTGCAACCTTGCTCTGTTACCCTGGGTACAAATCTGCCTCCGGCAGCTGCTTGCCTGCGTGGAGCTCTGTCGGAAAGTCACGGGATGGGGCTACTACACTCTGCACGGGCAGGGCTAGAAGGGAGGGCCTCGGGAAAGAGATGGGGAATCCAGAGGAAACAGGACATCAGGGTGAGAGGTGACCAGGTTTCCCACGTGGAGGATGGGGGCCCGGGAAGGTCCCACTGCACATCATGGACAGGCTGAGCCCACAAGTCTGGGGCACTGAGGAACCGCCAGGAGGCAGATCAGTGGATCAGGCACATTTACATTAAAAAAAGTACTAAGATGTAGGGGCGCCTGGGTGGCTCAGTCGGTTAAGCATCCCACTCTTGATTGTGGCTCAGGTCACAATCTCGCAGTTGGGAGTTCGAGCCCCTCGTCAGGCTCTGAGCTATCAGTGTGGAGCCTGCATGAGATTCTCTCTCTCCTCCTCTCTCTGCTTCTCCCCTACGTGCTCTCTCTCTCAAAATAAATAAAGAAACATTTTTAAAAATACACTGAAATGTTAACTGTGATTTTCTCTGAGTGATAGAATAATAGGCAACGTTTATCTCCTCCTTTTACCTATTCTTTCCATTTTTTAAACAATAACTTTTTAAACAACAACTATTGCTCTTAAAATCATGGGAAAACACCCCCAGGCAGCGGTAGGCGCAGGACTAAGACTGGGTCTCCCTGCTCCCCGCCCCACCCCAGGCCCAGGGCCACCCCTCCCCACGGGAAACTCTTCAGGGCTGGCCCGCCTGCCTCTCCCCTCCCGCTCAGGGCCCCACGACTTACCTTCCTCACACCTGAAGTCAGGGAAGGCCACGTCCTGCAGGGGGATCTGCCGCAGGAAGTCTGGGTTCTGGCACCGCGGGTTCCCTGTCACAATCTTCCTCTTCCGCAGCCAGTCCCCCAGCCAGGCCAGCTGACAGTTGCAGTTGAAAGGGTTGGCCAGAAGGTTTCTGGAAGAGGCAGCCGTGTGACCAGCAACACACCCTCCGGGCTGGGTTTCCCTGCAATGCCCTGTCGCCCCACCACAGACTGGCCAGGCGGCCACCCACGCTTTTTCCCAGATGACCGGCAGTTACCAAGACGTGGCATTCTGACGTGGCGGGACCCCACAGACCACCAGGGCCCGACACCCCCAGTGAGTGCTTTCAAGTAGCCGCCCTTGGGAGGGCGGGCGGACGGGCGCTGGGGCTCAGATGCCGGAGCCAGACTTACAGCGTGGAGAGGGCCTGCAGGGTGTCGAAGGCCCCAGGGGAGATGGTGGCGATCTGGTTGTCGTAGAGCGAGAGCAGGCGGACGTTGCGCAGGCCCGTGAAGCTGTCGTTGTGGATGCAGCTGATGCGGTTGTTCCTCAGCATCCTGGGGGGCGAGAGGGGGGAGCCCGTGCTGTGCCCGCAGCCACCCACCAGCCTGCGCCTTGCCCACGGGGGCCTCCCACAGATTCTTCTCCCGGGGCCCTCCCCTCCCCACGCTCCCCCTCAGGATGCTCTCCCAGCCACCCTGCCTGCACAGCGCCCACATGGCCTGACCTCCGCCTGCACTCCCTGGGTGCCCAGGGCCTCCCCCGCCCCCAGGCCACGCTCTGCACCAACGCCGGGGACACTGGCCCAAAACCTAAACCCAGTCGTGTTCCTCTCCGGGCCGAAGCCCCAGTGGCTCCCAAACTGCCCACGGAATAATGTTTACACTCTTTACCGTGACCCGCGGGAGCCAACCCCAGACCAGCACCGGCCGCCTTCCTGGAGAGGGACATACCCTTGACTCCTCTGTCCTGCGGGCATGCATAGGGGCCTGCCTCTCCATACCCTTCCCTGGCTGTGGTGTCCTTCTAGAATGACCCCTTCCCTCATTTTTATCTGCTTAAGTCTGCGTTCACCCTCCAAAACCTGGCTCAATTCCCCTCCCCAACTAAAAACAAAACCAAGCTGGACACAGAATAGGCGATTCACTAGGAAATTACAATGGTTTATGAACACCGATTAAAAAAAAAAAATGTTTAAACTTACTAGTAATCAAGTACATGTAAGCAATATTGAATCTTTGCCTGACAAACTGCAAAATAACTAAAAATATAGCAATATATAAATATAGTAATATATAAATATATAAATATAGTAATAGTATAGTATATAATATAGTATAGTAAATATAGTAATAGAGGGTCGGTATGGGTGAATGGGCATTTTCACACTTGGGCCGGCAGGAGAATGGTTTGGGGCCTTCCTGGAAGTGAGAGGCAGGCAGCAAAGGCCCTAAACGGGCCTCACGCTTTCATCCTGCAAGGCTTCTTTTAGGAATTTATCAATAGGGAATAATCCTGGATGCACACAGAATTTCATGATAAAGATATTAATCACATTACTCATAATAAAAAATTAAAATAGCTTGAATTTCTGGGGTGCCTGGGCCGCTCAGTTAAGCATCCGACTCTTGATTTCAGCACAGATCATGATCTTACGGTTTGTGGATTCGAGCTCCGCATCAGGCTCTGCGCTGAGGGCAGTGGAACCTACTTGGGATGATTCTCTCTCTCCCTCTCTCTCTGCCCCTCCCCCGCTCATGTGCACACGTGCAAACACGTACACGGTCTCTCTCTCTCTCTCAAAAAAACAAACATTAAAAAATAAATAGCCAGAATTTCCAGTAGTTATGTAATGCATAGTCCTTCAAAATGATGTTGTAAAGGAAATTTCAACGGTGTGTAAATGTGCTCGCGTTGTGTTTAAGACAAAGCAGGTTGCTAAATAAAATGGATTCTAGGACTCCGTTCAGAAATACCTACATGGAAGCACCCAGGTGTATGGGTGTGTGTGTGTGTGCATATGTGCAAGAACATGTGTGGATACAGAAGACTGGAAAGTAGTTGATATGGACAATTAACGGCGTTTGTGTGGGCTGGAGGGGTTATGGCACTCCTCTTCCTGTGCCTGCGCTGTCACTCATGGGCTCTTAACCGGCTCTGCCCCAGACCAGCCCTTCCCCTCTCCTCCAGCCCCATCCACACCTTCCTCAGAAAGAACCCACGTGACTGGCTGACTAGCCCACGACACCCTCATTCAAGGACTACCCGGCAAGTATAGAGAAGAATGAGGCAGCCCCATGTGAACAGTCTGGGAAAACAGTCCCACTAGATCCACGTGTGAAAGAAGCCGGTGGCAAAACACAGCACAAAGGGCATCCCCTTTCTGTAAACCAAACCAACCAAACAACAACAACAACAAACCCCAAACCCACAGGGAACCCCTCATATATTCATTTCCTTTACACAAATTCCATGATGTGCGCTCTGAAAACGGATGGATAGCCCTACAGCCGGTCTGGGATTTATTTATTTTTTTTTTTAAATTTTTTTTTTCAACGTTTATTTATTTTTGGGACAGAGAGAGACAGAGCATGAATGGGGAAGGGGCAGAGAGAGAGGGAGACACAGAATCGGAAACAGGCTCCAGGCTCTGAGCCATCAGCCCAGAGCCAGATGCGGGGCTCGAACTCCCGGACCGCGAGATCGTGACCTGGCTGAAGTCGGACGCTTAACCGACTGCGCCACCCAGGCGCCCCCGGTCTGGGATTTAAACCCAGCAGGGTGTCGTCTAGAGCTATGCTCCACCCCCCCCTTGGTGGCCCTTGGCTGTTCAGATTCAAAAGAATTAAAATGAAATGAAATTCAAAATGTTGTGCCTCAACAGCGCTGGCCCCATGTCAACAGCCACACGTGGCTACTGACTAGACAGTGTATACGTGGGACTTTTCTGCCACTGTAGGAAGTCCAACTGGACAGCACGGTCTATTGCGCCCTTGAAAGGTCTATGTGGTCACGTGAAGAGCTAGTGCCGCCCGCGTGGGGGGGGGGGGGGCTCCACACCCCTTGGGGGGGGGGGGTGCGGGTGACCCCAGGATCTACTGAGTCCCGAAGGCTGGTTAGCTCTGGCTGGGCTCTGGTTCGTGGGATCCCAGAATCCCAGAGATAATGGGCCATCCCTCCTCCCCCTTCCGCACTGGCTGAGTCACCTCAGCAATGTCCCCGCCTTGGGGCCACCCAGCCCTCCTGCCACTCCTGAACTAAACACACGTGCAGTGCTCTTGCAGCCTGATGAGAGGGCAGTGAGGGGGAACCTCCAAAAGGGCCCACCCCCACCCGCCCCTTCACCAAGCATCGACCCCACACCCCAGGGAACAAGAAAGCAGGCCTCACCATGGTTACCAACATCTGATTATTTGCCCCCTGCAGACCCTGGCTGTAGACCTCATACACCCTCAGCTGCCCCTCTCCTCCCGCCAGCCGGGGTCGGGAGGGGTGCCTCCCATCCTCTCTCCTGATGCAGACACCGACACGCTAGCTTGCTTTTGCCCGTTGCAGCCTGGCCCTGCTCCCTGGCCCGCACACTCACAGCGTCCTCAAGCCGTCCAGGCCTCGGAACATGCCGCTCCGGATGGACTCCAGCTGGTTGGCGGTCAGGTGCAGCTCGCTCACAGAGCCCGCACCCTCGAAGGCCCCATCTTCGATTTCGGACACCTTGTTGTTGCTCAGATTGCTGGACGGAGGGCGGCAGAAAGATTATGGAGTTGCGGACCCTCCCCCACCTTCCCGCACCCGCCCCCTGCAGGGGAGCTCTGCCCCCATGAAACTCCCCCCACACACAATATTTTCCTTCTCCCTCCCCAGCTAGAGTCCTGGCCACAACCTCCCCGCCAATGGGTAACTCACATCTTCTTCAGATGAGTGAGTTTTTTAAATATCCCAGTGGCTTCCAGGATGGAAATCTCATTGTTGTTTAATCGTCTGTAAGAGGCAATGAAGAGAACTTACACATTCATAAATGACAGACATTAGAGTATCTTCCAAATTGAGAATATTTGGGACTCAAACAAAGGGGCTCCCCGAAGAATTTATCTGGCAAGGCAAACTGATCGCTTATCAAAGGAAGGGTGGATGATGGTGCTGGGAGGGGCGGTGAGTGGGGTACTTTTAACACTAAAAATGCCGTGAAAACTTACATACATGAAGGACAGATATGTGTAGCTATTCGTGCACATAGGCATGTGCACAAATTTATGTTTTTAAAGAAAAAAAAATAGAGTATGGCCTAAGATCCAACTTGATCTAATGGAATCATATCTCCCAGAAGAAGGCAAAAGCCTGGTTGAGAAAAGCCACCCCGGCTCAGGCTGACGACCTTCCCTGCACGCCAGAGATTGTTGGAAGGGTCTGGAGGCGGTGAGTCAGAAGCAGAGGGGCTTCAGGGGTGGGGCGGTGCTTCCTGCTAAAGCCAGCCGCTGCCATGCTGGAGTCTCCAGCGGTCCCAAACAGAGCCGGACCGGGGGAAAGCCCAGTGTGGATCGAGGAGGGCTAGGAGGACTGGGGACCAGTGACGATGTGCAGGGGCTGGGGGCCCTCACAGCTCGGCCGTGGACTGGGGGATGCGCTCAGGGATCTTGGTGAGCTTCAGGCTGGAGCACTCCACCAGGCTGGCCTCACAGCGGCACTTGTGGGGACAGACCACGTCGCTGTTGCACTCGCTGTTCAGCTGGTAATCCTCCGTGCCTACGGTGAGAGGGCAGGGGCGGGAGGCTGAGGGCCCCAGGGCAGGGTCTCCCTAGCCCCCTCAGCCTGCTGCCCCTGCCCACCAGCTGCCACCGCCCCAACCCCCTAGGTCCCCCAGACTCTCCTACCTGGAATGAAATACTGCTCTTTGGCTGGGGAGAGAAGCAGAAACACCATCAAGCTGGAATCTTCCAGGATGTGCAAGAGCACAGGCCCCAGTCCCACTGCCCAGGTGCAGGCACCCTGGGAATAACACTGGGGTCCCAAATCAGGGCCCTAGAGCCCACCCGCCCAGTCCCCGTGCAGAGAAGGCCTTGCCACAGAGCACAGATGTTCCTTGGCCAGGTTGATTCTGGGGTGGTACCACCCCCAAATGAACCTCTCAGGGAGCACCCAAACCATGGCAACGCTCATATGCAATGGTACAAGACGGGGATGGGGCAGAGAGGCACCCGGTTCCTGACCAGGATCCAGGCTCAGAAGCTGACTCACACTGTCCCCAGCCAGTTTCTGCTGCCCCAGAGCCTGGAGGAGGCAGCTCTCTCCCTGAGGAGAGCTCCCAGGCTTCTCGAGTGTGAAAAGCAGTAGCATGAAAGCAAACTGACCTGGGAGCAGAGGAACCTGGGTCCTTGTGCGGGAGTCCTCCCTCAGGGACCTTCAGCCAGGCCTACCCTTCCCTGAGCCCCAGTTAAGTGAGGGGTGGGGCTGACCAACTGTTCAGATCCAAGTCTATGGTCTCGGAACTACCCCCTCTGAGAGGGTCTCAGGTGGCCTAGGACGCCCCTGTTGGAGCCATCCAGAAAACACCACCAGGTCCCTGAGCAGACGGAAGACAGGCAGGCAGGTGGACGGACAGACAGGTGGGCAAGCAGGCAGCTACCTGAGCACCGGAACTTCTTGCTCTTGATCTGCCCGATGCGCTTGTTGGCGAGGCGCCGGGGGCTGGCACAGCGGGCCCCGCTCGTCTCAATGGGGTTGGTGCGCAGGAAGTCTGCCAGCCCCTTGAGGTTACAGTCGCAGATGAAAGGGTTCTGTGCCAGGTGCCTGTCCAAAGGGGGCAGAGTGGGGATCAGAGACAGGGTTGCAAACTTGCACTGACCTCTGCCTGGACAGGGCCTCACTGCCTCCGGGTGGCTCCAAGCCCAGGCCTGGGCCCCGGGGGAGATGCACCACCTGGGGCCACCCCCCGGGCACACCCATCAGCTGGAGAAGTCTTGCCAGGGCATCGCAGCAGGGAAGGATCTCTGCAGGCTCTGGGTGTCCAGCTGTCCCTGCTACACTCCCCACTTCAAGCCTCACTCTGTCCCCTGTCCATCTACCTACCTGTACCCACCCTGGGACATTTCACAGACACCAGTGGAGGCAAGAGTGACCTTGAGACTGGCCAGATCACCCCATCGTTCCATGGGTGAGGGGACACAGCGGGTACTTGAACCCAGGACTGTCAGTGCCCAGAAGTCTTTGATGTGGGTGGTCCCTTCCATGTGGCCTTGGACGACAGCAGCTCTTTCCACAGCCTTTGTCAGGAAGGGGATGAGGCCAGGGGTGCAGGGCTGGGTCCTGCAGCTGGGGTGACGTGTGTCAAAGTGCCTGTTGCAGCCTCTCACTTACAGGAATCTCCGTTCCCACCCCAGGCCTTTGGGACTGCTTCCCCCTGACCATTTTACATGATGTCTCTTGACACAAGGGAAAGTCAGAGAACATGGCCGGATAGCTACTTATTGGGAAGTCACTCTTACTCTCTTTCCAGGCTGCCTGTGTGACCAGCAGGGTAGGTGTGGGGAGGGGGCAGCTGACAGGTGATGCTGACTATAGCAATCTGGGTTGCTGTAAGCAACCACAGGGCTGGTTTTCCTGTTTGTGGGCCCTCACCACCCCCAAAAGGCTCAGACCAGCCACCTCTGAACCACCCCAGCAGCCAGCTTGCTGACCTGCATCTGGGCCATCACAGCACTGGGCATGTCCTGCTTTCTAAACTGAGACAGCCAGGGAAGAATATTCTAGCACCTGCTCAGGCTACTGTCCCTGAGAGCCAATGCTTCTGCACGGAAGTACAGGGAGACAGAGCAGGGGCCAGCTCAGAGGCCCATCTAATGCCATCACTTCAGGCCGTCCACTTCATGGCCTCAGCCCAGTGCCCTGATGGGCCAACAGGGCTCTGCAGGCAGAGACACAACTGCTGCTCAGGGTTTGCACCCAGCTCAGCTCAGACCTCGGTCACTCACTCTCCTGTTCATCACCTCCTGGGCTCTGGATGAAGGTGGGATGCTTGGTTGGAGCCTTCTTGGCCCAGACGTCCCTGCCACTCCCCTGGGCACTGTCCCCGCTTGCCTGCCTGAGTCCAGGCTCCTGTCAGCATCACCAGGTGGGCCGGGCCTTCTGCATCTAGTTGCACATTTGTCTCCCTATTCAAACTGTCAATTTGCAGAGAAGACGTGTTTGCCGACTCCCCAGGGCAGAGTTCATTGCTGATGGAAAACGTATTAGGAGTCGGGGCTTGCTCTGGGACCCTCCCGACCACATCTGCCTATGCCTCACTGCCCGGCCTCTGCCTGAACTAATGGCTTCCCTTTATCACAATCTTGGTAGAAAACTGCTTAAAATCAATCCAATTATGTTATTCAGGCACACGTTAAAATGTTCAAGGGGTGCGGCGTAGAATATATCCTTTTTAAGAACAGGTTATTTGTGTCAAAACCAATCTATAAAAACTTGAACCACCCACAGAGACAAGAGGCTTCAGTATTTGACACAAATTAGAGTTTTTAATAATTGCAAAGGGCAGGGAGCTGAGAAGGGAAATTGCTCAAGAAGAAGGAAAAAATACCAGCTTGGGAAAAAAATATCATCACGTTAGAGGCACACCCAGAAATGTGCTGCATGTGTGGCCATGAACATTTGTCACAGTAGAAGGTGGAAGGGAAGACTGTATTCTCAGTGTCTTTTTTGGAATATGCACTCAAGGAGTCACAACTAAAAATCTTGCGGGAGAGATGCTCAGCATCATTAATCAAATTAAACCCACAATGAGCTACCACTCCACACCCACTTTGGTGGCCATAATCAAAAAGACGAATGATACCAGGTATTGGCAAGGATGGAGACAAAATGGAACCCTTACAATACACTGCTGGTAGGACCATAAAATGGGACTTATAGCCACTTAGGAAAACTGACAATTAAAAAAAATTTTTTTTTAACATTTATTTTATTTTTGAGAGACAGAGCATGAGCAGGGGAGGGGCAGAGAGAGGAGGAGACACAGAATCCGAAGCAGGCTCCAGGCTCTGAGCTGTCAGCACGGAGCCTAACGTGAGCCTCGAACCCACAAACTGTGAGATCATGACCTGAGCCGAAGTTGGACTCTCAACCGACTGAGCCAGCCACGTGCCCAGAAAACTGACGATTTTTTAATCGTCACAGATTTCCTATGTGACCCAGAAATTCTAAGAGAAATTAAAACATTTGTCCACATAAAGATTTGCAAGCAAATATTCATAGCAGCCTTATTCATAATGATTCCAAAGTGGAGATCCAGATGTCCACCAACTAGAAAAGATAAGCACAAGGTGGTCTATCCATTCAATAGGAAATTACTTGGCAAAAAATAAAAAGGGACAAAGTACTGATACATACTGACACATGGACGAACCTCAGACACACAACGCTGGGACACCTGGGTGGCTCAGTCGGTTAAGCGTCCGACTTAAGCTCAGGTCACGATCTCATGGTTTGTGGGTTCGAGCCCCATGTCAGGCTCTGTGCTGACAGCTCAGAGCCTGGAGACTGCTTCGGATTCTGTGTCTCCCTCTCTCTCTGCCCCTCCCCTGCTCTGTCTCTGTCTCTGTCTCTGTCTCTCTCAATAATAAATAAACATTTAAAAAAAAAAACCTCACAATGCTAAGTGAAAGAAGTCAGTCACAAAGATGACACATCATGATGATTCCATTTTTATGAAATGTTCAGAAAAAGCAAACTATAAAGACAGAAATTAGACGAGTGGCTGCCTGGGGATGAGCTGGCAATAGGGACTGACTGTAAAAGAGACACAAGAGATTTTGAGGGAGTGATGGAAATGTTCTAAAATTTGATTGTGGTGATAGCTGAACAATTGAAATATACTAAAAATCACTGAACTGTACACTTGGAACAGGTGGGTTTTATGGTATATAAGTTATACCGCATGAAATTATTTTTTTTAATTTTATTTATTTTGAGAAGGACAGAGCATTAGCAGGGGAAGGGCAGAGAGAGGGAGAGAGACACAGAATCCCCAAGCAGGCTCTGCGACATCAGCACACAGCCTGATGTGGGGACTGGAACCCACAAACTGTGAGATCATGACCTGAGCTGAAATCAAGAGTTGGACGTTTAACTGACCGAGCCACCCAGGCAAGCTTCATGAAAGCTGTTTAAAAAAAAAAAAAAAAAAAAAAAAAAACTTTGAAAAATCTCTTAGGACGAGGAACACTGCAGCAAAATCAGTATTGAGACACAAGGCACCGAGCCACAGGTCTCGGAGCCACGGACAAATCAAGCAGGATGTGGGGAGTTGATATCAGGCCTGACACACGATTCAGTAAAGGGGTTTAACCATCCAAACCTGTATTGAGATACCTGATTATACCTCAGATTTGTATTTCGTTTATTCTTATTCCAAACTATATTTGAGCTGTTAATATACATTAGGTGTTTATGAAAGTCCAGTTCTGTTTTACAGCCTTTAAATAATAAGGTCTATTCTTATGGAAAAAAGCACAATTGAGGGGAAAGTTAACTGCCTTCTCAGTGATGGTGAAAGAGATGCCTGAGACCAAATCCCTGCTCTACTAAGATGTTGTGTGACCTTGAGTGAGTCACATGACCTCCTGCCTCTGTTTCCTCATCAGTGAAGTCAGGGATGCTAGACCCTCCCTCCACAGGCCACTGTGAGTATTCAGTAAGATCATACATGGAAAGAGCAGTGGCCTGGCATTCTGTGAGGGCTCGATAAACAGCAGTGACTGTTGTTTTCAGTGTCACCACCACTATTTCGATCTCACCTGTGGGAAGACTTCCTGTTCTAACATTCTGCTCCAGCTTTGTGCCCCACTACTGCCCTATGGGCAGTGGCCAAGATCTCAGGCATGCCGTCTGGCGGGCACTCTCTGAAATCCAGTCAGGTAAGTGGACACAGACAGAAACCATCCCCAGGGAGCGCAATCCATTTGATTTGTTCGCTCTCTTTCCACCTTGAGAGGGTGACGGCTCCTTGCATGAGACCCTCAGTCCCATTCCCCATCCTCAAGGCTTTCCTGTGTGGGGGTCCCCGACCTTGAAATCTCCTGAGTGCACTTCTCTCGGACATCCCGCCAGCTGCATAAAATAATCCACCTTGCCGATGTCTCCCCGTAACTTTGAATTTCACGTATTTGGCAAGATTTCCCCATAGTGTTCTATCCCCTTCTCCTTGGCTATAAGAAAATTAGTTAGCAGGTGTGGGCGGCAGGTGGGCACATGGGCTTTAACAAGTTTGTCTTTGTGGCTAATGTCCCTGCTGGTGAGCGTGGTTCCCGGGGAGCAAGAGCTGTGCTTTTTCTTTGACCTCTGTTAATGTATGCTGGTGCTCTGTGCACGTATTATCTGATGGAGACCACTGTCCCGCGGATAAACAATGGCAGGATGACAGTGACAACAAGGGCCATGGCGATAGTAATGGTAAATGTCCATTAAGCATGCGGCTCTGGACCCACAGGTCGGCTCATCAAGTCACACTGCAGGTAAGGATTCCTTTTTCAAGCATAACCACAACAGCATTATCAAATGAAGAAGGAAATGTTAGAAATCCAGTATCACCGTTTCAGGATCCCTAATGAACGAACGGGCCCAGGCACTGAAATGAGCGGCTCTGTTTATTACACAAAGAGAGCTGACCAGATATCATATGACTCCCAATGGAAGTACACAGTTCTGTGGAGTCATCCTGCCTAAAGAAGAAAAAAAAAAAAATCTGAACCCGACCAAGCTCCTGGATAGAATTTTCTATCTGCAGGACACAGACAGGACAGAGGGGAATGTGAAGCTACATCGCAGGGAATGTAATCTCCCAGCAACGTGCAGACCATGGGGAGCTCTATGGATGCAATAACACAATGCCTTCGACTAACATAGCACAAGGAACAAGGCCATGGAGAGGACACCTAGAGGCTAAAAACAACTTAGTGATACATCAGCCAGTATCAGCCAGTTGTACCATCTAGGCCTTATTTAGCTCCTGATTCAGACAAGTTATTTTAAAAACTGTATAATATGTATGAGACGCTTAATTTATTTTTTTTTATTTTTAAAAAAAAAATTTTTTTTTCAACGTTTATTTATTTTTGGGACAGAGAGAGACAGAGCATGAATGGGGGAGGGGCAGAGAGAGAGGGAGACACAGAATCGGAAACAGGCTCGGCTCGAACTCCCGGACCGCGAGATCGTGACCTGGCTGAAGTCGGACGCTTAACCGACTGCGCCACCCAGGCGCCCCTGAGACGCTTAATTTAAACGCTAATTCGATATCTGATGATATCAAAGAAGTGCTAAATTTTTAGATATAATAACAGTGTTGTGGTTGCGTTTTCAAAGAATCTTTGCCTTTTATACATATGTATGAAGTCTGTATAGATGATGAGTGATGCTGGGGTTTACTTCCAGATAGTCTGGGAGGTAGGAAGAGGGGATATTATGAAACAAGACTGGCCACGAGTTAGAGCTGGGCGATGAATTCTAGGAGGCTCACTATTCTGCTTTGAATATGTTTATAATTTCCTTCAGTAAAAGATTAAAATAAATGCCTAGGGTTGTTCCTCTCTAATTTTTAATTTATAGCCATCATTGCTATTACCGTATTTCATCTGGTTTAAGATATTATCAGTTGCAAGATGCTCTGTTATTTTATGTATTAGCAGAAAAGAACTAAATCCTGCCAATTAGGGGCACCTGGGTGGCTCAGTCGGTTAAGCGTCTGACTTCAGCTCGGGTCATGATCTCGCAGTTTGTGAGTTCGAGCCCCGCATCAGGCTCTGTGCTAACAGCTCAGAGCCTGGAGCCTGCTTCGGATTCTGTGTCTCCTCCTCTCTCTGCCCCTCCCATACTCATGCTCTGTCTCTCTCTGTCTCTCAATAATGAATGAACGTTAAAAAAAAAAATCCTGCCAATTAAATGACATGCCATTGATTGTAATATTCATCCCAGCTTAGAGCTGTTAATGTAGAAACAACGGATGTCTTAGAATTGATATTATATTATTATTACTAATTACAGCCAGCATTTAAGGAACATTTACAATGAACTAAGTTCTGCACAAACATCCCCTTTTATCTCATAACAACCCCTGAAGAAAATAGTATCCTCATTTTATGAATGAGTGAGCTGAGGCCCAGAGAAGCTAAATTAAGTTGCCTAGAGTCACACAGCTAATAAGAGGCATAGCTGGGATTTGTACCCAGGACTATCCAATCCCAAATCTGTGCTCTTTCCTCTGTGAGAGGCCATCCTGGTGAGCAAAAGGCACAGGGCAAGACAGCTGCCTGTCCCTGGGGGGCTGTCGCCTCCCGCTAAGTCTTCCTGCAAGTGCAGGGACCGAGGGGAGGAGGGCAAGAGGGCACTCACAGGGTCTGGATGGCCCGCAGGGAGGTGAAGGTGCCCTTGGCGAGACTCTGGATCTTGTTGTCATACAGGGAGAGGAGCGAGAGGTTCTGCAGATCCTGGAAGGCATCGGGCCGGACACAGTTGATCTTGTTGGCGTTCAAGAGCCTGTGGGCAGACAGGGCCAGCTGGTGAGGGGAGAGGCGCGGATCCGGCTGCATCAACACGCCCTGGGCACCTCCCGGCACAAAGCATGTGTTGTCTCGGGGAGAAGAGCACAGGAGCAGGTGCAGGGGGTCTGGCCCTCTGCATGTCCACTCCATACAGGAAGCCGCGAAGTCCGACTGCCCTCTCTAAGCGAGGGATCATCCTGTTCCACTGCTCCTCTCCCTTTCAAGCAACTGCTATAAGTGCTCATGGGGTTCTTGGGAAGCAGAGAGCACAGTGGTCAGGCCTCCTCCCAAAGGCATTTTAGGGGCTCCCCTCCTTTCCAGAGTCTGCCGGGTTTCCAAGTATCTGAGATGGAGCATTTAGGTTCCGTGCCTCTCAGATTCTGGGAGAGAACCCTTGCCTGAACTCTCATGGTTGAAGGAGGCTGAGCTGGGTCTGGATGTCCCCTTGCAGGAGTCAAGTCTGTCCCCAGCCATGCTGACCTCCTTGGGAACACAGGCTGCATCGCGGGAGCCTCTCAGCTCAGGCGTCCTGTGATCGGCTCTGAACCTGACCCCCCTCCCTCTCTGGCCTTGCCAGAGTCCCAGAGTCCCCCATGGCACCCCTAGCTCTGCCATCATCCAAGCTCCTTGCCCCAGTGAGTCCCACACCCCCAAAGAGGCTGACAAGGCTAGTCTGAGAAGCCAGAGGAATACTAGCCCCCTCCCTGGGCGTCACCCAAGGACACCTGCAGATGGGTCCTTACAGGAGCTGTAGGGTGTACAGGCCTCCAAACACACCCCGGGGGAGGTCTGTGATCTTGTTCCCATACAGGACCCTGGAGACAAAAGGCAGCAGAAAGAGAGAGTAAGAGGACAGCCCACCAGGAGGGACAGGGCTCTGCCAGTCACACCCGCACAACGGCACCACTGCTAAGCCATTCACAGGGCACAGCATGGTGGTGTCGGTTTGTTGTAACAAGTTGCCAGCAGGTGGCAGTAAGGTGTGCTCCTAAAGGGTTCCCCATTTGTAGTTTGCAAAAGGTACCCTATGGGCTAGAGGCAGCAGTGATCCCCCGCTACTGTAGGAGCAGCCCCCCAATAACCCGCTCTCTGCCTCACACATGGAACCCCCAGAAGCCTGCAAAGGGGCCCTCTGGGGAACTTCATGGGAAATTAACCTGGCCCTGGATCTAAAAGGTTCAAGGAGGAGAAAATCCCATGAGCAGGATAATTAACATATTTTCAGAGGATTATCGGAAAAAGAACAGGAAGGCCAGATGGCACGTGTGGAATGAGCTCTGACGTCAAGCAACAGAAAACACCCCAGAAAGAAAGAGATCAGTTTAGCCGAGCTGAGATCTGGGCGGTGGGGTACGAGTGGGTGTCATACCTGAGTTCTCTGTGTTGAGCAGGAATTCTGGTGTATGATACAAAAAAAAGCAAAGGTTCAAAAAAGCCATGCAGGCAAGAATGGGTTGGGGCAGAGGATGAAGTACCAACGGGGCTTGGGAACTTGCCCAATATCACAAGCAGCCCCCATAAGCCACCCCTGTAAACGATTCAGGCTGAGTAAAAACAGTATATGTGGTCTCTTCATACACGGCTTCAAGATCCTTCCTGAAGGAGGGCATGGCAGAAGCAAAGGCCCTACGGTGGGGTCCAGGTTGCCCCTCCCCCTGGGGGGGGTGGTGGTTCAGTGTGACTCAGGGGAAACAAATGGAATAATAGCTTGGATTTTACCCAGCCAGCACCAGGAAGCCTCTGAGACATGATCAGATTTGCATTTGCTCGGTGGAGAACAGAGTGGAGGGGACAGGGGCTGAAGCAGGGAGACAAGGTCAGGGTCTGCCAAGATGGATGCTGTCAATGAGGTCCGTTAACACGCCATCATCACAAAAGTTCCCAGATGGTGGGGAGATGGCTTTGACCAGGTATCCAGGAGCAACAGGAACCTACTTAAATGTTATTGCATTTTGGCAGGTCACCTCCAGATTCTGATCTCCTCAGCCAACGATAGAGACTCATCACCAGGCCATCAGGTACAGCTGTGTAGATTGTATACTGCACAACTTACAGGGTGCCATTCACAAAACAGTCCCACCCACTAGCTCAGACTCTACTCCAAGAGAATAAGGCTCACAGAGAGGCACTGAGCTGGCAGCCTCACACATTCCCCAAGGGGGAGTTCCATCCTATCTCACTTCTCAGGCCCCTAATCTATACAAGGCATGTGTCCATTGCTGCCAAGGACAAGCAGAAACACTGACTCTTAAGAGTAACAAAAGGCCCCTACCAATGGGGAACTCGCCCAACTACAGTGCACTCTCTGTATAGACCTCCAACAGCAAGAGACTTGGTGAACTTGGGGTACAAGCAAGGGCACCGGGAAAAGGAGAGATGAAGTAACATTTTTGAAGCCGCATGACATTTTGTAGATTGATGGACCCGGCCGCGGCCGGGGCCCCCCCGTCCCCCCCCCCCCCCAAACACAATAAACCCTCCAGGGAAGGAAAATGGACAGAAGTGGAGGAAAACGCTTTTTTCACATCACCCACCGCAACCTGGGATCAGAGCACATTTGGGAGGAAAGATACAAGGTGTGACAGTTGTCACAACTGGAGCTGGGAGTGGCTGCCCTTACATGTGAGCTGGGGAAAGTTTAGGAGCATAGAGTGCTGGGCCTCTGTGGGGAGGGGTGGGGGGGCAACAGGAAGCCTGGGCCAAGTCAGAACACTGTAGCAAGGGATGCTGGGAAAATCCCCTTCATGGCAGGAAGAGCATCAGAGTTGCCAGGGGCAACAGCTCGGCCTGCTTTTTCCAGGCACTCAGCCCTGGATTCCCTCCACCCCTTCCCAGTTGCAGAGCGTCCACCAGAGAGGAAGGGGGAGCTGGACACAGCATCCCCCTCCAGTGCCCATCAGAGTGGCCACAGCACAGGGGCGGGGGGCTCCCTGGACCCTGGCAGACTTGCACTGCTACTCACAGCGAGTTCAGGGAGCGGAGGCCCTGGAAGGCATCGGGAGCGATCTCTGCAATCTGGTTGTTGCTCAGGTCTCTGCAAAGTGCGCAGGAGGGAAGATGGCTGAATCCCGAGGTGGCCACCAAGCCCTACTCGGCCCCTCCTCCCAGATGCCATGGGAAGGCAGACATTTCTTCGACATTAGGAAAATGAGGGGCCAGTTCTCCCATCCACCTGAAATGCCCCGGCCACTATTTCCCCATGCCGTGAGACAGTCATACTCAGGCCAGGAAGTCCAGCCTTGGTCTCCTTTCTTGATAAAGCTTTACCCCGCATCCCAGTTTCCCCTACACCCCCTCTCATGTCCTAGTAGTGCCCCTGCTGAAATAGGAGGGTGACAGTCAGCTCTGGTCATGTGCCAGACTCAGGCTCAACACCCCATTTAGGCCTCATGATAACCCTATGACGAGGTCACAGCACCACCATCCACATGTCACAGATGACCTGGGCAGGTAGAGTCAAGACCTGCCCCGTGTCTGTGGCTGCCTGCTCCAGGCTTTTCCTCCTGCCCCAGGCTGACCCCCCAGGAAGCAGCGCGAGGTACTCACATCCTCCGCAGTTTTCTGTAGGGAGAGAAGGCTCCGGGAGGGATGGACTTGATCCCATTGAGCTCCAGGCGGCTGCAGAGAGAGAACACAGAGGAAGCCCAGGGTCAGGTTACCCCAGTCCTGACTGTTGCCTGCTGGGATCACCTGCCCAAACAGGGCCCTTTGCCCCTGTTCCCATCCTCCGTCTGGAGTAGATGGGCTGGCACAAACAGGGGAAAGGTACACTGCTGTATTGGAGCCCATTATCTCAGGCTTTGGTGGCTGCAAGGGGCCCATAAATCAGGCTAATACTAAGAAACCGACTGCAGTGGACTCAGCTGGGCTGGACAATGGACCACAGAGAGTCACCCCTTCCCCAGCCTTCTAGAGCTGTCCAGCTTTGGGCAAAGGGCTCAGCCCAGCTGAGGCTAACTGTATCTCCTCCATTTGTACAGAGGGGCCTCAGGCAAGCCCTGCAGTAGAGCCCTGCTCCCTCTCCTCCCTGGACCACCAGAGCCGGGCCAGCCCGAGCACCTGTGCCCCAGCACCCTCCCTGCCCTGTACTCACATCTCTGTCATGCTCTCAGGCAGGTTGGCGGGGATGGCAGTGAGGCCTTTGCCACGACAGTCCACAATGCCATTGCTGCAGGTACACATGGCCGGGCAGGAGCCGGAGGACAGGGTGCAGGAAGGCACTCGGCCCGCTTCTCCTTGGCCTGAGGAAGCAGTGGGCTGTGATCTGGGGGTGTCCCATGTCAACACCTCCCACCCCAGATACAGCATTATTATACAGAGCACATGTGTTTTTCTGACTGAGGATGAACCAGAGGAGATCACCAGGGACTACCATGTGACTCTGTGGTGCCTGGCACATGGCAGGTACTTGCTAGATGTTTGCTGAACTTGAATCTGGATCTAACTGTGCTGCATGAGAGTGTGATTCACACACTAGGAAATCCTGGCCTAAATTCCGAAGCTCCAGGTTCTAGTCCACATCACTCAACACTTTGAGTCTCCTCATTGGTCACCAGAGAATGACAAGGACTATGTCCATGGGGGCACTCGCTCTGTGCCACATGCAACGATGTTAACACACATGGTAACTCATTTAATGCTACCGCTGAACCCATGAGGAGTGTGATGTTATTGTGGTCATTTTACAGGTGGGAAAACTAAGCCCTTGATAGTTATTAGTTTGTGGAAAATCACACAGCTGATAGGTGGTAAAACCAGGATAAAGCCTACTGACTGGTATAAATTTTCTAAATTGAAGTACGACATTTAAAGTGCACCGTCTTAAGTGGAGATCCGGCTGAATTTCCACTTATGGATACACCCACAGAACCGTCCCCAGACATAGAACATTTCTGTCATCTAAGAAGGGTTCCCCATGCCCCTTGTCCAAGTTACCACTATTCTGAGACCTGTCTCCAAAGATCTGTTCTGCTTATTTGGGGACTTGACATAAATGAAATCAGAGAGCAGGTCCTCTTTGTGTCCGGCTTCTTTCGCTCAATATAAAATCTGTGAGATTTGCCCATGTCGTTGTGCGTATCCATGGTTTGTTCCTTGTCACTGCTGAGCAGTATTCTATTACATGGATACATCATAATTAGTTAATCCATTCTCTTGCTGGTGAACATTTGGGTTGTCTCCAACTCTGGGCTATTATGAAAAGAAGCTGTCTTGAATATTCTTGGACATGATGTTTTTGTGATGGGTGAGAACAGGAGATAAGGGATGGGGCAGGAGGGGGAGATGGGTGGGGGCAGGAGGTGATGGATGGGAATAGGAGATAATGGGTAAGGACCGGAGACGTGAGTGGTCCAGGCAGTGGTGGATAAGGACAGTAGGTGATGAGTAGGAAAAGGAAGTGATGAGCAAAGAGAGGTCATGGGTGGGCCAGATGTTAGTGCATGGTGACAGGAGGTAATGGGAGGCAATGAGATGTCGGGGGGAGGGAATGAGATGTGGGGGTAACAGGAGGCAGGTGATGGGCAGTCAAGGGCCTGCACCCACCTGAGCAGCTGAACTCACTCTTCTGGACCTCGGCTACATTGAGGCCACGCAGGCTGGCGGGGCCCGAGCACTGGGTGAAGAGCCCGATGGTTGGCCGCTGCCTCAGCCACTGGGAGAGCCAGGCCAGGTGGCAGTCACAGAACAGGTGGTTGGAGTGCAGGCGGCTGCAGGGAGACAGGGAAGCTCACAACCCACCTCCCTGGGCCCCCAGCCCCCAGCTGAACAGCAGGAACACCGATGGGGATTACCTGCAGCGGGGGGGACACCTCCTCTGGCCGCTGCCCCTCCCCGCCCTCAGCTCTCTCAGGGACAGCCGCTGGCTGCAGAGTGACCAGCCAACAATTCATCTCACTGAGCTCACACAGACCCACTGCCCAGAATCGCATACCTCATTCTCAAACACAGAAACAAAGCACTTGTTCTCCAAGTTGAAACCAAATATAAGACATTCAACATCCTTCCATTTTAGCTCACTTCCCTCCCAGCCTAGGATGGCTCTGACACTCCCAGCCTGAGATGACCACTGAGAATGCAGAGAAGGAGCTCTTTCTCCTGCCTGTGGAAGCCTTTGCCCCCTTCCCCACCACGCGGGGCCCCAGCCTGTGCTCGCCCGCCGGGCTCTAGGCTGCCCCTGAGCTGACTCACAAGGTCCGCAGCTTGGGCATGTGGTTGAAGCTGGACACGGGGATGGTGGTGATGTTGTTGTTGTTCAGGGTCCTGACCGGGGGAAAGTAGAGTCAGTCGGCATCTACGCAGCAGGAAGTTACGTGCGAAGGAGGGACAGGACTGCTCTCTGACAAGCACACAGACTCTCACACCCAGATCCACGGGCTGGACCCCGGAGGCTTCGCCCGCCGAAGAGCTTGTGACACGGAGCCACCCTCAGGGATAGCCCAGAGTGGGCCAGAGGCTAACAGGCAGCAGCCACGGACTCCAGGGAGAGGGAAAAGCTGCCCACAGGCTGAAGCCAGTTTGAAACCCCCAGGGTGGGGTTTCATAGAGGGAGACAGGGAGTCATTCCTGCTTCATGTGTCAGAAAGTCCTGGAAGACACAGACACTTGCCTGGGCTCCATGCGAGCAGGGTAAGCCTGGGTCACCCGCCGCAGGTACGATGCTGTGAGCATGTGCCCCACCCCCATCCTGGGTGGCGGGTCTAGGGTAGCAGAGAGCATGGTCTCTGCCCTGGGCCTAGCACTGCCCCCCGGGGTGTCCCGGGACACCTCCTGTGCTGCTCCTGGCCCAGCCCCAGCTGCCTGGGCCTCCGCTCCTGCATTAGCAAGGCTCTGCGGCCTCTGCTGCCCTTCCCATGTTCTACTTACAGCACCTCCAGCCCCCGCAGAGCCCGGAAGGCCCCTTCCTCGATGCAGCTAATCTGGTTCTTGTCCAGCTGTCTGTGGAGCAAAGGAAATTGTACTGGAATGCACGTTGCCTAGAGCAGGGGTGTCTGTCCATGTGTTTTGATCAAACACTCATTAGTTAAACAAAAAACAACAACAACAAAAAAAGAGGCCTGGCCCCACTCATTCAGTACACGTGCTTTCATCCAAATAGCAACTACAGTAAAACCTTTGATTGCGAGTAACTTGTTTTGCGAGTGTTCCGCAAGACGAGCAAACATTTCTGGTAAATTGTGATTTGGCAAACGAGCGATGTCTTGCAATACAAGCAGTACGTGACGGCTAACGCCACGTGATCACAGCTGACCGACAGTTCTTGAAATTCGCTCTGATGTCCAAGCGCTTTGGAATACAAGCATGTTTCCAGAATGCATTTGTCACAAACCCAGGTTTTACCGTACTAATAAAAGTTTCAATTCTTTCTGATTCAGTTAAAACAACACATCTACATAAAAGTTGCATTGTATTCCTTCACCTAAGTCGGCATAGGCTCTGGGGAGCAGGCGTCTGTGCCCCCACTGTGGAGACCACCTAGAGGGTGCTGGCAGCTAGAAAATGAGACAGCCTCTCCCTGGAGCAACGGCAGCCAGCGCTGGCAAACAGATTTCACCCTGAGTGCCAAGCGAGGCCGACTAGCCGTGGCCACCTGGAATGCTGCCTTTGGAATAAACCGAAGCTGTGACTTGGGTCCCCTGGGAAAGAATGCCATGCTCCGCTGTCTACTACAAACATGGGGTCAGGGAGCAAGACACAGGCCGGGCACCTGCCATCCCTGCTGCAGTCAGAGCTCAGGGAGGTGGGACGTCTGGACCAGAACAAATTTGAGTAGTAGGAATAAACTGTCACATTTATTTGTTTTTAAGATTTTCTTTTTTTTTTTTTTTCAGTGTATTTATTTATTTTGTGAGAGAGTTCAAGCAGGGGAGGGGCAGAGAGAGGGGGACAGAGACAGAATCCCAAGCAGGATCTGCACGGTCAGCAAAGAGCCCAACGTGGGGCTTGAACCCACAAACTGTGAGATCATGACCTGAGCCGAAATCAGGAGTTGGACATTGAACTGACTGAGCCACCCAGGTGCCCCTAAACCATTACATTTCAATAGCACTTGACAGAGTGTATTTATTTCCATGTCTTGTTTAAACTTCAGAATAAGCCTGTGAGGTAAATGGGAGAAGTTAACTGACTTGCAACCACTTACACAATATGTACCTGGAAGAGAAGATTCAAACCCAGCTCTCTCAATCTGCTGAAGGGCAAGAACATAGAGGCTGTGCCATTTAAATGGACCTCACCTAAGCACTCACAGTCCATGACACTCCCTTCTACCCAGTCCCCAAAGGCTGCCTGTTTCCTTCGACCCCAGATTGTTCCAGAAGACCGTCAGTCATCTCAGAGCCCACACCAGCTCCTTGTCTGCCTGGACCACAGGGCTAGGGGAGATGCACAGGATGCTGCAGGGGTGGCCCTCCAGCCCCTCCACCCTTGTCCCTCCCAGGCCTGGACTCACAAATTTTTGAGGTCTGTAGCTCCACGAAAAGCTTTCCTGGGGATGGCCTGGATGGTGTTCTCACTCAGGTCCCTGAGAGGATAAAGCCAGAGGGAGAAAAACACGATCAGAGGAGACTTCTCCAGAATGCCCTGATGAGTCAGGGAGGTCAGGATGGCCAGAGAGTGCTCCAGCACCCAAGACAGTGCTCAGTAAGGCAAGTGTTTGTTGAATGAATGAATGAATGAATGAATGAATGAATGACAGAGCTGGAGAGAGGCTCCCTGCCCTGGAAGGAGCTTTGCCCCCAATCGCCTCCCGTCTCTGCAGAGAGGGGGTTGCAGATGGAGAGACAAGCTTGGGGCGGCCGTGACCTACTCCTCTGCCAGATCCCAGGGAGGTCAGCTCAGCCCCCACGGCATCAGCCAGGGCTGTAAAGGAGCAAGCCAAGGAGGGCTTCTTAATAAGCCCACCGCCACCCTGGGGCCTGTGGTACGCACGACTCACTCTCTGTTTTGCTGAGGAGGAACAAGGCTCGGGAGGAAGGCACCACTGGTAACCCAGCCAGCATGTGGCAGATTCAGGTCACGAAATCCAGGCCAGGTCTGACTCCAGATCCTGTGCTCAGAGCCTGCCATCAGCAGAGCTGACTCTAAGAGCCTGAACCCACACCAGAGTCTGGCCCCTGAACCTGCTTCTCGTGCTGGCGGGGGGCCACAGTGCTGCATCCCTGCCCTGCAGCCTGGATGGCAGAGGTCACCAAGGACTTTGCCGTTTCCCCATTATTAATGCCCTGATGGAGGGGAGGCGGACTTGCAGGGACTCTGCAAATCCCCGGCCTCTGCAAGTTTCCAGACCAGCTTCTGGACACTTCCTCCAGATCTGCTGGCAGATAGGGCCTCTGGCACCTGTCCACCAGCCTCTCCCTTCCTCTCTCAGCATCCTTACCACAGACTTTTACAACATCCTTACTACTGCCTTTGCAGGGCAGTTTTTCCCTCACCACAGCAGTGGCATCAACAGCCACTGTGTTCCAAGCATGTCCCCCAGGCCAGCATAGCCTAACATGTCACATACAGGAACCCACTTGACCTTGCACTAACCACGGGGAAAATACTTATCACCATCCTCCTTTTCCAAAAGATAAAAAGGAGGCTTTGAAAAATTCAAGGGAACACAGCTGGTGAGTGATGGCTCCAGAATCTGAGCCCAGGCAGGCAAGGTCCCTCCCGGAGCCACCCCTCACACAGCTGCCCTAGGAGCAGGCACTGGAAGTGGGGGAATGGATGTCCTCCCCTATTTTGCAGAGGAGGGGCCTGAGCTCCAAGAAGTGAAGCAATCTGCCCAAGGTTAAACCAGGATGGGGACCCCGGTGGTTTACAGGAGAGCCCTGCATCAGATGTGCCCTCAGGGTCCACAACATGGAATCCAATGCTAGACAGCTCCACAGACCCCCAGCTCCCTCTGGGCCAGCCCCACAGGGCTTTGACCATATCCTTCCTTTCAGCCATTCACCCCACAGCCCTTATGGTTCACTGCCAGCCCCCCAGCACACAGTCCCTGGGCTATGAGTGCCACCACCACTCCATCTGGGTTTTCCTACTGAGACAGTAAACAGAAGCGTGACAGTAGAATGCATGGGCCCTTCAGATCCCAGCTCCCTGGCTGTGTATCTGTCAGTCAGCCCCTTTCCTGCCTGAGTTGCAGTGTCCTTGTGTGCAAAGTGTGGATATGAGCCTGGCAAGGACTGTCCCCACCAACCCTGTCCCCCTGCATAGAGTGTGAGCTCCCTCCCCTCCAAACCCCAGCCTCTCCTGTCCCCAGGCATCTGTGCTCTGGAGGGGCTTCATCGCCATCAACACCTCCCATTCCCTGTTCTCTCTCCCCTTGAAGGAAGGCATCTCAAGCCTGTGGCACAGACACTTCTCTCCTCCAAAACTACATACAATCCCCCATCACAGCTTGTGCTCCGCTTCACCATAACTGGCTGTCTCCGTCCCTCCATGCAGCAGTTGTTTCACCCACATCCACCTGCCGGCAGGTGGCAGTGGGTCTGGGGTGACGCTTGGGTCCATCTTCCTCTCCTTCTCCCACGCCACGTGCCAGTCTTCCCTCTTCCCAGAGTCTTTGATCTCAGTTGTCAGTGCGCATCTCTGGCCCCCGCTTAGTCTGTCTGTGTTCCTGGAGACATTCTCTGTGCCCCACTGACTTAAGCTGCCCCAGAACCGCCCCTGGCCTCCCCATCCATGCTACCCGCCCCACTTTCCCCTTTCTCGGCAATTCCCACCAGCCCCTCCATCTTGAGAGGAGAGGGGAGCACTTCAGCCTTTACTCATCTGCCTAATCCTATTATCACCTCTTCCTTGCCTACATAGCTCTGTCCCCTGCCCAGTTCCTGTTATGCAAGTAATTGCTGCACATTATAGAGTGCAGGTGATACACCCTGTGACCTTGATCTCTACCTCTTCTTAGGTAGACGCTGACACCGGGCAGCACAGTAAACAAAAGAATTGGGAGCAAGGGCTGTACAGGCCACACAAGTAAACAAAAGACTGCCAGCGCTCAGGGGGTCACAGTCACACGACTTCTCTCTCATCACTCTCTCTGGGAGAAGCCAGCCGCCACAGTCAAGGACACTCAAGCAGCTCTCTGGAGAGTCCCACATGGGGAGGAACGGAGGCCTCCTGCCGATAGCCAGCACCGGCTGCCAGCAACGTCAGTCAGTCATCAAGGAAACAGATTCTCCGGCCTCAGTCACTTCCTGACTCTGCAGCTGGCTATGGTCCACACGCTGCCCTCAGGATTCAGACACTGAAATCCCACTGCCCAATGTGCCAGTGTTAGGAAGTGGGGCCTTCGGGAGTACTTAGGTCATGAAGGTGGAGCCCTGGTGAGTGTGATGAAAGGCCCCATAAAGGAGGCCTGAGGGAGCTCCCTCCTGCCGCGGGAGGACACAGCTGTGAGCCTGGAAGTCTGTGAGCCAGGACATGGGGCCTCACCCGACACCAGTCTGCTGGCACCATGCTCCTGCACTCCCCAACGTCTAGCACTGCGAGAAATAAATATTTCTTGTTTATAAACGACCCAACCTATGGTGTTTCTGGTACAGTAGCCCAAACAGACTAAGACACAGCCCCAGCCAACATCGCGAGTGCAATCTCATTCAAGACCCCACGCCGGGACCACCCAGCCACCTACAGAAACTGTGAGGGCAAGACAAGAGCAGGGAGGAGGGGCAGCGGCCTGGAGACTTCTACAGACTCAGGAAGACAAGAGGGCGCACAGGAGGCGTGGACCTCCAGCGGGACAGTCCTGTTGGCCCCAGCTGGCAGCTCACCCTTCAGCCAGGCCTGGGAGGGAACTCTGGGCCAGCAACTCACATCCATTATTCCGTCTAATCCTCTCCACAACCCTGCAAGGGAGGTTTTTTTATCTGTATCGATCAGTTTATTGATTTAAGCCAACCTTGTTCCAGAAAGGCTTTAAGGCTGCTTATAGGGCTTTACAAAACAGCAAGAGAGCAAGAGCGAAAAGTGGGGCAAAGAGAAGAAAAATCAATGGCGGGCACCAAGAATGCAGCACAATATCACCCACGACGTCAGGTCCAGGGCAAAGCGTGAGCTCTAGGCTTTCCGAGAGCTGACGTACATGGGGGAAACCGGTCTGGTAACAGCATTCCCAATATGTGTATACATTTAAAAGGACCGGTTTCTCAGGAGTATAGTTGTTTGGGGTACTAAGAGGAGACAAGAATTCTCCAGGGATCTTCATGAAAAATGACAGTGTGGCCTAATCAAGAACACTAGATCCTTATAATAAACGGGTTTCAAGCGTGTCTTATAATTGTATCAAAGTACAGTTGAGGAAATGCAATTCTGTAAGGACTCACAGCAGGAGCTAAGTGGGGAAAGAAGGGCAGAAAGAGCGTGTGCAAAGGCAAGAGGTGGAGTAGAGCCTGGAGCAACCCAGGAGTAGTTAGGTTTGCCTGGAGTGGAAGGTGCTGGAAATGTGTCTGCAGGAAAAAGCCTTGCAGGCCAGAGGCGACAGGTTAGACGGGAGAGGGGAGAGGCTCTGATCCAACGGCCTTTTAGGCAATGCTCTGGGGCCCCAAAGCTTACAGAGGAAAGATGTTGCCCCCAGGCAGGCAGGAGATTTGACATCAGGAGCCCATCCATGAGGTCAGGGTCCAGAGGTGGGTGTGGAGCCAGCCAGGGCCAGCCCACAGGACGGAGCCGCCCACGCTATTAAAATGAGGAAAGGAAACTGAACTTAAGACCTGGGAAGAAGCCAGCCTCTAGACCAGAGGAAAATGGGTGAGCTTTGGAAGCCTGAGGAAAATGCAGGATGCTGGCAGCACAGGAGGGGGTGGAAAGAGCTTGAACTGTGCAAGGAAAAGGATCCAGATTCAATTCCTGCTTCTGCCATCATAGCCAGGGATCCCGGAAGTTATGGGCCTGCCCGCTTCACCGTCCCTGTTTGCAAAATGGAGATAAAAATACCTACCACACAGGTTTGGAGAGGAGGAGTTCATGTATTTAAGCTTCTGTCCTAGTACCTCCATTCAGCAACATTTAAGAAAGCTGGCTTTTGTCCCTCAAACACAGTTGGCCAGTCTCTTTCCTAAGGTTCTGACTGTAGTTTCCAGTTTGCTCGCTAGGGGGCACAAGAAGCCTTCCCTGGACGCGATGCCTTCTCCACCACTGCAGAAACCCAAACAAAGCTATTCTTTTTTTTTTTTTTTTTTTTTTTGCCCCAGTTGACCTCCTATCTGGTCAACAATTGTCTTGTCTTTCCCAAACCCCTGTGAAGTAATGTTTCTCATCTCCATTTTCACTAGGTTGGCATGCAGTCCCAAAGGCACCACCTACATCTTTCATTTTTGCACCACCATCCTATAGTGACCTTGTCACAGGCCCTGAAGTTGAGTGTGGCCTGGGTGTGTCAGGGCAAAACGAGATACACTGAGAGAGTCCATCCTGGAAGAGGGAGGGTGCTGGAGCTGGAAAGACAAACCGAAACTGGGAGCACCTGGTGGTCTGGCCCTGGCCAGGGGAAGCGGAGGGCACAGAGCCATGGGGCGGATGGGGGCTCAG